AAAGTCCGGGGAGAGCACATTATTAACCCGAACACGGAAATGTCTATCAGTTAAAAAGTTCTTAAGGAAGGATGGTAGATTGCCTCGGAGGCCTAAGGAGTGGGCTTGGGCCAAAATATTATACCTCCAAGTTGTGTCATATGCCTTCTCAAGGTCAAAAAATATGGCAATAACTGAGTGGTTATTCTCAAAGGCATTACGAACATACGTATCCAAGCGTAGTAAGGGGTCTATGGTAGAACGTCCCTTATGAAAGCCATATTGACGAGTGGAGAGACTGTTGTGTCTCTAAATACCACACTAAACGTCTATTTACCAGGCGTTCCATCACTTTGCAAACTGCACTGGTAAGAGTGATGGGACGATAGTGGGAGGCTTCATGTCCCGTAGTGCCTGGTTTGCAGAAAGGGAGAACAATCGCAGATTTCCACAGCTGTGGAAGAACTCCTTGTGACCAAATAAGATTGAAAAGGCGTAATAGGACTGCAAGGGCTGACTGATGTAAATGTTGTAGCATACGAATATGAATGTCGTCGGGCCCAGCTGCCGATGATCGGCAAGGTGAGAGTGTTGCCTCCATTTCTTGAAGTGTAAAAGGCACATTATACTGTTCTTCGATGAGAGAAGAAAAGTCCAAGGGTGCTAACTCTCTGGCAGACTTTGAGGAAAGAAACGAGGGGCATAGATGGAGCCCCTGAGAAATACGGACCAGATGATTGCCAATTTCATTGGCAACATCTAGTGGGTTTGCTATATCAACACCGGCAACCCGCAGAACAGGAGCCGGGTCAGGAGAATATTTACCACTCAGTTTTCATACTTTTTTCCAGACTGCACTCATAGAGGAAGCAGAGGTGATAGTGGAGACATTATCTCCCCAGCAATTGCATTTAGCGTCATGGATGACACGGCGAGCAATCGCACATTTCTGCTTAAAATCAAGAAGTCTCTCCGTGGTTCTATTGTACCGGTACCTGCCCCATGCAGCACGTTTCAAACGTACTGCACGAGCACAAGCAGGAGACCACCAAGGCACGCATTTCTGAGAATGCCTGCCCGAAGTTTGGGGTATAGAATGATAAGCTGCGGTTAAAACGGAGGACGAGAAGAGGTGTAAAAGCTCATCAATGGAGGACGAAGAAGGAACCTCACTAAAAACAGTTAGTTGTGAGTAAAGGTTCCAATTTGCCTGATCAAATTGCCAGCGTGGGATACGAAGAGGTGGTGAATATGAAGGGGAAGTAAGAATTATTGGGAAATGATCGCTGTCATGTACATCTGGGAGAACAGACCAGGTGAGTTTACCTGGAGTTTACCTGGAGAGAGTTCCGGGGGTCAACGCCCCCGCGGCCCGGTCTGTGACCAGGCCTCCTGGTGGATCAGAGCCTGATCAACCAGGCTGTTGCTGCTGGCTGCACGCAAACCAACGTACGAGCCACAGCCCGGCTGATCAGGAACTGACTTTAGGTGCTTGTCCAGTGCCAGCTTGAAGACTGCCAGGGGTCTGTTGGTAATCCCCCTTATGTGTGCTGGGAGGCAGTTGAACAGTCTCGGGCCCCTGACACTTATTGTATGGTCTCTTAACGTGCTAGTGACACCCCTGCTTTTCATTGGGGGGATGGTGCATCGTCTGCCAAGTCTTTTGCTTTCGTAGTGAGTGATTTTCGTGTGCAAGTTCGGTACTAATCCCTCTAGGACCGAACTTGCACACGGTGGAGGAAGAGCAGACTGAGAGATCGATGCAAGAGAGAGTGTGAGTCCGAGGATCAAAATGGGTGTGAGTACCTGTATTTAAAACATGGAGGGGGTGGGTGGCAAGAAAAGCCTCTAACTGAATGCAATGGGAATCACAGTGAGACCCCCCCCCCAGAGGAAATGATGGGCATTAAAATTGCCAAGTAACAGAATTGGTGATGGTAATGACGGAACAAGAAAGGCAATATCCGGAATAGATAATGCCCGAGAAGGAGAGAGATATAAAGAACAGAGTGTATACCACCTATGCAAGTGGATACGGGCTGCTGTGTAATGCAGCGAAGTACGAACAAATAGCTGATGGTACGGAATATCAGTGCATAGAAGAAGGGCACTTTCATTAAAGGTCCCATCAGGAAAAGGATCTGAAGAATACAATAAATTATAGCCTGAGATGGGAGAGATAACAGCAGAGTGTAATTTTGGTTCCTGTAAGCAAACACCAACAGGGGAAAACTGGGAGAGTAACATCTGAAGCTCACCCCGATTACCCCTGAGGCCGCATATATTTCACTGTAAATAGGCCACGATTGGCAATGATAAAGATACTTGATATCCGTAGGTAAGGGTTCCTACAGACTAGAGGGGTTAGAAAAGTCCACATGCGGAGGCAGCGGAAAACGTTCAAGCAGCGAAGGAATGGTGCACTGTGAAGAAAGGAGTTGCACAGATGGAGGAGAGGAGAGAAAAGGAACAGAGGGTGGATCAGTGTCCATTGATGGTTTGGTCTCTGCAATATATTCAGAGATCGCTTAAAGTGTTTCAGAATTCAGAGATGTCGTATGGGAGACAATATTGGAGATGGTAGGGAGAGGATGAGTAAAGATTGGAACTGTAATGGACTGTACCAAGGTAGGGGGGGGGCGAAAGGTGGAGGGAACTGGAGAAGAAGCGTGGAAGGGGACAGAAGAGGCAGAAACCTGGGAGGTGGCAGAAGAGGAAGAAACTTGGGAGGGAACAGGGGAGGTAGGTATAGTACGAGGTGGAGGGTGAACCTCTACACTTGTAACAGAGCCAGTGAGAGGGGAAGAACCCGGTACAGAGACAGGGAAGGTAAAATGAGGAGGTGGAAGAAAGGAAGGAGGGGTTAAACGACCTTTTTTTGACTTCTGAGAAGTAGAGGGATGATTGGGAGGAGGTGTCGTATGAGGTCTCATTGATACTGAGGCGTGTGAGGGAGAACACGAAGAAGCGAGAACAGGCTGAGGCATTGAAGTAGGGACGTCTGAGCCTAGGACAGCGAAAGAATTAGATACAGGAGTGACTATGGGAGAGGTAACCACAGAGGAGGTTGCAGAAGATGGGACCCCAGAAGTGGGGGGATGTTTCGAAACATGGGAATAAGAAACATGAGTCTCCCTTGGAGGTGGAGATGAGAAACTGCCATGGCATAAAGGAGACCTTCTGCCTCTTTGAGGTAACGGATTTCCCGCTCATTTAAGTAGACTTGGCAACGGCGAAAGTACGAAGGGTGAGCCTCATGACAATTAAGGCAAGAGGGAGGTCGATTGCAAGACGTATTAGAATGGTCATCGGCACCACAGACTGGGCATTCGGCTATAGATCTGCAATATTTCGCTGGATGGCCAAATCGCCAGCAATTTCTACACTGTTGAGGTGTAGGGATCACCTTTCGAACTTGTAACCGATGTCCTGCTACATAAACTGAGGATGGGAGTTCACGGCTGTCAAAAGTTAAACGAGCCACATTGCTAGGGTATCGTCTCTGCCCGCAGGCAGGAAGAACATAAGTGTGTACCTTGAGGATTGGGAGATCTTGGAGTTCCAGCTGTTCAAGAATGTCATTGCCACATGTCTGGAAATTTTGTTGACCTATGGTATGGGGCAGAATGACAGTACCACTACAAGAATTGAGGGAATGATGTTTTCCAATAGTGACAGGAACAGTATCTATATGGGAAAGAAGAGAAAGATCATGAGCTTGGGTAGCATTCTGTACTGTGATGATGTGCGTACCGCTCTTAAGAGCATGAAAAGAAATATCTTTACCAACATGGCGTAGGAGTGCCTTGCCAATACTGTGGTCAGAAAGATAGGCGGTAGAGGAAGTCGGTCGTAAAGTGGAGAATTTAGTCCATTGTGCAGTCTGAAACTGAGCGTGGAAAGGGAGTGCAGGACGTGTCGACCTTTTCTGAGAAGAACGAGAAGGTGGAGAAGTATCATTAGCAGGTAATTGTTGTTGGCGTTTAGGTGTGGGACCAGAGTTGGTCCGACGTGGAATGGGCCAGCGATTCGAAAATTGCCGCACTGTAGAGGGAGAGGCCGGAAGCATAGTCAAAGGAGAGCGGAGGTCAGATAAATCAAAGGAGTCAGTCGAGACCTCAGTACCTGAAGCAGGTGAGGAAACAGCACTGGCAAGAGGTACAGAGGCATGAGGAGTGTCCGAAGAGTGGTCCAAAGACGAAGCGGGGTCAGAATGGGGTGCGGTATCAAGAAGGGGCCTGGGGGTACCAGATTCATGGATTGGGTTCTCCATGGTTAGGTTACTTCTTTTTGTTTTAAGAAAAAAAAGAAAGAAAATAAAATAAAAATAAAAAAAAAAGAATAAAAAAAAGGGGGGACTGGGGAGGGATAGTTCCTAGGAGGAATGAAAGGGCCAGAAATCTCCCTCCGTGCCCAAGAGGACCTCAGCACCGCAAGTAGCGTAGATGCAGCATGGAACCCATGCCATACCCTACCCATCATGCAAGTAAACCAGCAATCCGGGATAGCAACCTCACATCTGCCGAGCTACCTCGGTGGACAAAAGATAGGGCGGCCGGATATCCATCACAAAGCATACCTCCTTCGGCCACCACCCCCGGAATCCAAAAGGTGGCTTCCAGAGATACACCCGTCACCTGAAAGACACCCAAAGCCACTCTCCAGGATACCGGAGAGGGATCGGGACATCCCCAGGCGATCCAGATTCCACGACAAACTACGCCACCGCCAAGAACCTCAACGGAATGGGATGGACCCCGGTATCCTTTCCCCTACCTAGGAACTAGCGCGCCTTTGGGAAAAATCCCAAAGGCCAAAAAGAGGAAGGGCAAAAGGGAGGGGTGGGGAGGGGGAGGAGGAAAGGGAAAAAGGGAGGATGGGGAGGATGGGATAGGGAAGGGGGGATTGGGGGGTAATTAGGTTCGGTCTGAGGAAGGAGACCGACAGGCCTAATTCCTCAGACCAAGAGCCTCTTCACCACACCAAGGAGCCCCCCTTGAAGAGGTTTGCATATGTAAACACAGATGAAACATGAAATAAACAATTTATTCGATGTAAATATAAATCAACCAAATTTATTAAGTTCTGTTCCACAAAAATCCCTCTTGTCAGAAAACACTTGAACTACACTTTTAACATCAGCTGTGAGAAATTCTTTTTGAATGTTTATTAAAGCCAGGTTGGTCAGTTGTTCCTGTGACATTCAAGACCTCAGATATGTTTTTATTAATTTCAGTTTTGAAAATGACCTTTCACAACTAGAGACTGAAAATGCGAGTGTAAGCAGTAATGTGTATGACAGCGTGGGAGAGACATCCCTCCCATACTGTAATAAAGACTCCACAGTATCTTTACCATCAGGGAGAATTCTATTCCCTCCGGCTCAAAGGACCATCACAAAATCAGTAATTTCGTCATATAACTGAATGGCTGCCACATCATTATCATAATAATTTGCAAAATCTGAACATTCCTTTTTTAATTTCTCTCTTTCTTCAACTTGGGTCACCATTTTCTCTGGACAGAAAGGGTACACCATGTTAAAGGAATAAAGAGGTAACCACTGCCTCTGTAGTGCAGTGATTTATCACCGCTGAAATTTCAGAATCACTATCTTATTTCCCTTTCTAATTGGATGCCCCCCCCATTTGGATGCCCGGGGCCACCGCCCCTCCCCCCTCTGCACGCCACTACACCAAAGATCATTTACGTCATTGTAAGCTCCTCTCTCTAATGTGCGGGTTATTTGTGTATTGTTCCAGTCACAGTATTGTCTCTTTTTGTTCTTCAGTGTGTCAGCTTAGCATGCTTGGCAAAGTGGAGCTCTGATCCTCACATCTTACAATGAAAGGTTCTTGATTCAAGGAAATTGTAGGTATCCGTCCCTTTCTAGGACCGAACCTCATCACCTTTCAATCATCCGGCGTTGTCTTCCATAACTATAATAAGATTGTGTGTGAGACACGCTATGCCTTGAACCAGCCTAGCACGGTGAGGTGAATCTTCTTCACTACCACCAGGAAGGTGCCACATGTCCCCACTGCCAGACCTATCAGCAGCAGACCTATACCCAGGCCGGCCAGGTCACCTGTATCAAGCACAACACTTACTAAATAATATAAATAAAAGAATACTTAATAAATACAATTAGGGCTTAATTTAAACGCCCATCCGTACACAATATTGAATAAAATTTCAATGGAAATAAATCATTTGAGACTCTCTGACCGCGGGTTCAATCCCGCCCGTGGTATGGTTTATTGTAATTATTATTTAACACGCTGGCCGTCTCCCTGACACAGGGTGACCCGAAAAAGAAAAACTTTCACCATCATTCACACTATTATTATTATTATTATTATTATTATTATTATTATTATTATTATTATTACATTAACAAATTAGCAATTAACCTGCATGGGACTTCCAAAAGAGGACCTCCTCAGCAGTGTTCAAGTCAGAGACGAGACTAAAGGGTGATTGTACCTAGACACGTCTGTAATTTTATCCTAAGTAAATTTCTCTGTGTATATGAATGTAATTAATGTATTTATCTATTTGGCTATCCATTTACATGGTTTCCGGAGACTGGTGTACGACTCACCTGAGGTACGGTGTAGGACTCACTTGAGGTACGGTGTAGGACTCACCTGAAGTATGGTGTTGGACTCTCCTGAGGTATGATGCAGGACTCACCTGGGGTATGGTGCAGGACTCACCTGAGGTATGGTGTAGGACTCACCTGAGGTATGGTGTAGGACTCACCCGAGGTATGGTGTAGGATGCACCTGAGGTATGGTGTAGAACTTACCTGAGGTATGGTGCAGAACTCAAATGAGGTATGGTGCAGGATTCACCTGAGGTATGGTGTAGGACTCACCTGAGGTATGGTGTAGGACTCACCTGAGGTATGGTGTAGGACTCATCTGAGGTATGGTGCAGGACTCACCTGAGGTATGGTGCATGACTCACCTGAGGTATGGTGTAGGACTCACCTGAGGTATGGTGCATGACACCTGAGGTATGGTGCATGACTCACCTGAGGTATGGTGCAGAACTCACCTGAGGTATGGTGCATGATTCACCTGGGGTATGGTGCAGGACTCACCTGAGGTATGGCGCATGACTCACCTGAGGTATGCTGCATGACTCACCTGAGGTATGGTGCAGGACTCACCTGAGATATGGTACAGGACTCACCTGAGGTATGGTGTAGGACTGTTTACGAGATTATTTGGTATTTCTGGTAGCGAGGAGTAAATGATACGTCTTCGGAGGCTTCTTACTTTACGGTATCTAGGGTACACAAGCAGTGTGTTACGTGCCCATGGCCCGGGAGGGCCATGCCCACGAGGGAGAGAGGAGTAAGGACCTGTTGTCTGAGTCTAGGCTGCTGAGTGAGTGAGGCAGATGCAGGGGTGGGCAGACTGGCATGGCCACCGAGAGGCCTGGCCTCTGGTGGAAACTATGGGAATTAGGCATGTAGGCTCACTGGCTACATTTCGCTCGGCCACCTACCACATGGTCGACCTGACCATGTCTGGCGGTAAAAAAACTCGGTCTCTCTCTCGTAGGAACAGGGCACAGAACACAAAATAAAAACATATATATATACATATGGACATGGGAAAAAAACTTCCTACAGGGAGGGAAGAAAGAAACAGGTGGGATGTGCTAAACATCGTGGTCATAGGCAGTGAGTGTCGATGGGCATCACTGCACGCCTTCCTGCATCTGGACAGATACTGCAACACAGGAGACATCGTTGCGGCTGAGCTGTGACGTAACAGGGTACGGTCTCCTCTGGAACAGTGAAGCAGTCATCGTAGGAGTCGCTACAGGGTTTCACTCAACCTGGGGCATGACCTGCTGGAGCCCTCGAGTGAGGCGTCATCAGTACTCAACAACTGAGCAGACTTCTTCTGTCAAGCGACTCAGGAGGACATTTCTCGACTGGTACTGTCGCTGGGCTGTCACTGCAGGTGAGTGTGGGGCGAGTTGTGGCAGAGAAGACTCGCCAAACATCTGGGAGTCATAACATCATACACTGTACTGCAGTGAGCAGGCTAGCAGTCAAAGTGACATCAACTTTGTGCAGGCTGCTCACTGAAGCTATGACAGGAAGCTGACACAGCGCCTGCCGACAGGGCTAACTGCGGCTTGGCGAAGTGTCATTCTCTCGGCAGTTGGAGTTATAGCAAAGGTTAGTCTAAGCATCCCCAGACTTGTTTCTCTACATATAACTGCACTCTGACGGTCTGGAGGTGAAGTGAAACAAATCTCAATGGTAATCGTAGCAGGTACGATTCTACAGAGCATCACGAGCGACAAACAATAAGAGCTTTCTGTACAAGAGGCTCGGATGCTTGGGCTGACTAATATCAGCTGTCAAATGTGCGGGTCACACCGGGTGACAAGTAACATGAGGTGCTACACTGGGGTCTGGCTGCAGACCTGTGGTCGACACTCAGCTGGGCTCAAGACCACACAGGACACATGGAAAACTGCACACACCCACACTGCACATGCGGTACTATATGGCTTACACTAACAAATGACGCTTTTCTGTGCAAAAATCGACACTAAGCTATACACGAACATGTGAGAACACTGACTGAGAGAGGAATTAATACATGACATATATCTTCTCTCAATCTTCTCGACAATACTGAAATAATTACTAGAACACTTGATGTGACATCGTGTGATGTCAGGCATGACGTCGCAAGGTGACATCAGCAGCACTGTCACATCAGCAGACATCTCGAGGTGACGTCAGGTAGACATCATGACGTAATGAAGTCGGGCAGCAGCAGACCACAACATGTGGCCTGGGACATCTGGCTTGGTAACTCATATGGCTCGTAGATCCACGTGGCTTTGTCCACACCCCACGTGGCATCAGGATCCACGTGGCATCGTGATCTATGTGGCATGCTGATCCACGTAGCCTCGAGTGGCCTCGGGCACTCGGATACACAGCTCTGGCAATGAATTCACATGGAAAACAGCAGAAAACACAGCAGAGGGAGTGAGCACATAGTGGTGGAATGTGGTGGTATGTGGGTGAGGTGTGAGTGAGGCAGGAACCCAGCTGCTTTCTCCTCTCCCACCCACAACACAGGGAGACACACTGGACGCAGAAATCACCACAAAACTTACCTCTGCCTTGCTGAAATAGCTGTGCTGAGCTGAACGACAACAGCAGAACATACAAGTGACGCTGAACACGTGACTTAAGAAACAGTGTGGGATGCTGTAGCTTGGGGTCACTGGGATGCCACTTACAATTCTCAAAGAAATTCGGCAAATTTCGGCCTGGATCCTGCTTGTACCTGTGTCTGGATGCTGAAACGTGCAGACACGACATCAGGATAACTCGTTGAGAGATGGATGTTTCTTGTGTAGGGTGATGAAGTGAAGATGATTTCATCCCTCTTCCTTCCTCTCTCTGGGCAAACACACTTGCTGTGACCACTGCTTCCACCAATGTTTACGAGTTAATTGGTAGTGCTTGCAGAGCGGGGTTCAATGATAAACGCTTCGGAGGCTTCTTACTTTATTTACGGTATCTGGGGTACACAGGCAGTGTGTTACGTGCCCATGGCCCGGGAGGGCCATGCCCATGAGGGAGAGAGGTGTAAGGACCTGTTGTCTGAGTCTAGGCCGCTGAGTGAGTGAGGCAGATGCAGGGGTGGGCAGGCTGGCATGCCCACCGAGAGGCCTGGCCTCTGGTGGAAACTATGGGAATTAGGCATGTAAGCTCACTGACTACAAGACTCACCTGAGGTATGGTGCATGACTCATCTGAGGTATGGTGTAGGACTCACCTGAGGTATAGTGCAGGACTCACCTAAAGTATGGTACAGGACTCACCTGAGGTATGGTGCAGGACTCACCTAAGGGACGGTGTAGGACTCACCTGAGGAATAGACAATCTGGTTTGGATTGTTGGGATCGGTGGTGGTTGTGGTTGTGGTAGTGGTAGTGCTGGTGGATTGATCAGTGCCTGTAATCAATAACATTTGTTTACTCCTCACAGTTACTATAATAATCATAATCGTTACTATGCTAGTTTGACAACTTCATCATTCCCTCTATATCCATCATGCGAAAACATTACGATGTATCTTATGTGTGGGTCAAATCTGAGTGGCGTTTTGTAACAAGTGGCATTCCACAGGATCAGTTTTAGGCCCAATGTTGTTCATAATATGCATTAATGACGTTGACGAGGGAATAACTAGTGATATGAGTAAATTCCCTGATGACACGAAAATAGGTAGGATAATCGATTCCTTGGAAGATGTTTCTGAACTTCAGGAGGATTTAGACAAACTCACGTCGTGATCAGAAAAGTGGCAGATGCGTTTCACTGTAGATAAATGCAGAGTCTTGAAGCTCGGGAATGTGCTCATAAACTAAACAATGTGGAACTTGGCCATATAAAATGCGAAAAGGGTTTGAGAATTAAGGTAAGCAGCAACCCTAAACCAAGTCAGCAATGCCTAAGCGTAAGTAATAAGCAAACAGATTACTGGGATTTATATCAAGAAGTACAAGCAACAGGAGTCCAGAGGTTACGGTGGCCCGGTGGCCTGGTGGCTAAAGCTCCCGCTTCACACACGGAGGGCCCGGGTTCGATTCCCGGCGGGTGGAAACATTCCGACACGTTTCCTTACACCTGTTGTCCTGTTCACATAGCAGCAAATAGGTACCTGGGTGTTAGTCGACTGGTGTGGGTCGCATCCTGGGGGACAAGATTAAGGACCCCAATGGAAATAAGTTAGACAGTCCTCGATGACGCACTGACTTTCTTGGGTTATCCTGGGTGGCTAACCCTCCGGGGTTAAAAATCCGAACGAAATCTTATCTTATACTGTACATCATTAGTAAGGCCTCACTTAAATTATGCAGCTCAGTTCTTGTCTCCATACTGAAGAATGGATATAAATTCTTTCGAGAACATTCAATGAAGAATGACAAAATTAATCCATTGCATTAGATATCCTCCTTAAATTACGTTATTATTATTAAAGATTCGCCGGTATTCTCCCGGCCCGGGCCTTTTCCAAATGTTGGCCCGGCCTTGGCTCCCTGTCTAGGGAGTGTCTGAGACCTAAGTCTTCCATGGGAGGAGGCACAAATACTCCCTCGTCTTTGGGATCACTGTCCCCAGGCGCCCTCACGGGGCTCGTAGGGAGAAGCTAGGCCTCTCTGGTCTGCCATCCCCGCCCCAAGTGGGTTATTGGGAATGACAGGCTTGTGAGCTGCAAGCTCGGGCTCAGGCACCTACCCTACCCTAGAAGGGCTGGGCATGGTGTCGATGAGGTATTACTTAGGCGGCTTGTGAGCTGCAAGCTCGGTCTCAGGCACCTACTCTACCCTAGAAGGGCTGGGCATGGTGTCGATGGCATTACTACGGCTTGACTGCAAGCTCGGGCTCAGGTACCATCTACCTATAGGCTGGCATGTTGTGAGCTGCAAGCTCGGGCTCAGGTACCTACCCTACACTAGAAGGGCTGGGCATGGTGTCGATCCCTTAAATTACATTCTCTTGTAAAACGAAGTATGAGGGAGACATGATTTAAGTGTATAAGTGGAAGATGAGCATTAACAAAGACATAAATAAGGTCCTGAGGATATCCCTCCAAGAAAGAGCCCGTAATAATGGATTCAAATTGTTAAAGTTAAGATTTAGAAAGGATATAGGAAAATATTGGTTTGGAAATAGAGTAATCGATGAGTGGAACAGTTTGCCTAGTAGCTTCAAATTTAGGTTAGATAAATATGTGAGTGAGAGGGGTTGGATCAAAGCTTATTGCTTGGGTAACGTTGAAAATGAGTTAGGTAAATATTTTTGTTAGTGGGTTTGAGTTTGAAAAATACTTGCCTAGTATGGACCAATAGGCCTGCAGTAGTGTTTCTCCTTTCTTGTGTTTTTATGTAATTACGAGCTACTTACGATGGGGTCCCCGTTTTTCCATTAGTGGGTTCTGTTTGCCCATTGGTATGCAACAAGTTTAGTTACTGTCTAAATAGTATAAATATAAATTTATATTATGGTTTATAACTCAATATGTAAGGCGGGAAATACACCAGAAAATTATGTATATATCTCATTATTATATACAAGTTTTGTTTTCATTGTAAATTAAAAAGTTACAGTCCTGTGAACTACTATAGACCATTGTCATACCGAATTACTGTATTTTCCCAGAGACACTTACGAGGAGGCTTCGTGGTAGTGGTGCTGTGGTCTGGTATGGTGGTAGTGGTAGTAGCAGTGGTAGTGGTTGTTGATTCGGTGGTTGATGTGGAAGCGGTTATGGTGCAGTCTGGTTCAATCACCGGAGAAAGTGAACCGGCTTCAGCCACCAGCATGAAAGCCTGTAAAGAAGCGTTTATATACAGATACCTAAAGTCGGTACTATACATTACTATCGTGGAAATTTTTTACATAATTTTCCTAAATGTAGAACGTATAAATGAATAATATAATAATTGCATATTAAAATGTGATGTTATTTGGACCCTTCGAGAAATTTTAAGTGAAGGGCTGTGTGGAACAGCCGGGGGAGTGACGCAGCAGGAAGACGCCATTGGTAATTTGTGGGCACTGGTTGTTGTGGAAAATTCAGCTAATAATCCGGCGTCTTCGTGGCTAAATTTGCAATAGGAACCCATGTTAATGTCCCCTGATGAAAAATTTGGACAGGAAATTTGCGGGACCTCAAGAATTACGTGTGGATGGCGGAAGATAAGGGATACGGCCATCATTCACAAGGAAGTGTGCCATTAGTCCTTTCATTTAGATCTCTAACTGGCCAGTGTAGGGTCTAGGTGTCAGGCAGGTGTTGTGGTGTGATCCATCTACAGTAATTAAATAGTAAGTGGTAATACGAATTTCTTTTGTGTACCCAGCAAGCCTAATCATATACAGTCCACAATTTTAATTTGCCAGAGTAGCTGGTTTTAATATTGTAATTAATTTAATGTCAGGTCTAGCTTTTTGTGAGTGGTGATGAAGTGGGCATCGAGGGAGTTACAATCCTGCGCCGTACTGTGACTCAAGTCCCACTTATCTCGCCCAAATTACTTGCCTGTAATAATTCAGGTAATACCCTGTAAACCTCATGCAGGTAATTGGCTCACATAATAATAATTCAATAAAACTATACAGATACCTAAAGTCAGTACTCGACCAGCCGGGCTGTGGTTCGCATGTTGGATTACGTGCTTCCAGCAGTAACAGCCTCGTTGATCAATCCCTGATCCACCAGGAGGCCTAGTTAAAGACTAGGCCGTGGGGGCGTTGACCCCCGGAACGACCGCTAGGTAGGTAGGTCGGTAAGTATCCACGGTGTGACGGCCAGTTCTCTCGTAGGTGAGAAACACGTACACACTGTCAAAACATGAAGAAAAACGTTTCACCAAGAATGGCTTCTTCAGTCCCAAGAAGTCACTCGTGGTGAAACGTTTCCTTGATAAATGTCTTGATCAGTGTGTCTTTACCTACAACTTGGTATCACTATATCACTCCCACCGCTCAGGTCTCACAGACTGTCTCTACCATGCATTGAGGACCACAATGGAAATAAGATAGACAGTCCCTCGACGTATTGCCTTTCTTGGGTTATGCTGGGTGGTTAACTCTCCGGGGTTGAAAATCCGAACGAAATCTTATCTTTTCTTATCTTAACTGCTGTCACTGCTCATTACATCATATTTGTTTATTCTCTTTTTATTAAAATACGTATTGCCTATTGTCAAATTTCTCTATATGCACGATTCAATTAGTGGCAACCCTTTATCATTTACCCCCAGCACTCCAAACTTACCTAATAACCCTCTACAACAGTCTTCCTTCTTTATTTACTACTACTACTAATATTAATCTATCACTGCTACTACTACTTAATAATAATAAAAATAATAATAATAATAATAAAGAAAATAACAAGAATACTTGGTATTACCTGACCGTCGGGTTTATAACCGTGGTAGTTGATGCTGCCGTAGTTGACTGCGACACTGATGAAGTTCTTGGCCTTGAGGCCAGAGGTCATGTGGACGTAGAGGTCAGGGTCAAGCTGACTGATGCTTGGGTGGCGGTACAGGAGAACAAACTCCACCCACACCTCCCCGCTGGCCTCGTTGATGCTCTGGTGGGTGCAAGAGAACAATGCAACACCAGTAGTAATGTGACGCTGCTTCATGCACCTAGACAGACTTTTTAAAAAACTGAAGTCTTGTTGTTTTATCAGGATGGATGAAACAATTGATACACAAAAGTAATTTCAATTCACACGAGGTAGCCTACAGGATGAGAATCATAATTTTTACTAATAAGACATTTGCATTGAAATTTATTATCGTTGTTAGTTAAAAACATGAATAATTACTTAGCATATTTGAGAAAATGTAAGATTATCTTTAATTTTAATCCCGTGTAGACCATTGTAGTGTAAAAGAATAAATACTCGTCAATATATGGCAAAAACTACTTTTCCAACTCCCCCAACGTAGTGAGGTCACTGGAACTATCTCTCTCCTCCGTCTACACATCCTTTATCAACTGCTCAATCTTTTCCCAGTCGCTCTCCTTCCCATTCTTCTTATGGTCTAACAAAAAAAAAGTATAAGGCCATTGTAATCCTACTTATGGTGACCTATGTATTTACCTTGACTCTGGTGATCCTGCTGACGGAGACCTCACCAATTGGGCGAGTAGCATCTGCCAGTGTTCGTTGAATCTGGACGATGTTAGCAACGGTGTATTCACCACTTCTGGCCACGCCGACACTGTAGGCACAAATCCCGTCAAGTCAAGTTATTCTAGCTCAACTTAGGTCAGTGACTTGAGGAACAGCAAGTATTCCTGGAATGTGTAGTGGAATGCTAAGAAGGGGAGGGGGGATGCACGGGTTCGGCTGGTTTCAAATCGAGACTATGACGACCTGAACCTCTGAACCAATGGTCGCAGAATTATGTGTACTGACACAGGTCCTTTATCGCTATTGATGCTTCTCCACGTATGCTTCTCTAGTTCAATCTTAATTAGAACCGGTTGTAAGGAAAATGCCAGCAACATCCCCCCAATGAAAAGCAGGTGTGTCACTAGCAAGTTAAGAGACAACACAATAAGTGTCAGGGGCCCAAGACTGTTCAACTGCCTCCCAGCATACATAAGGGGATTACCAATAGACCCCTGGCTGTCTTCAAGCAGGCACTGGACAAGCACCTAAAGTCGGTACCTGACCAGCCGGGCTGTGGCTCGTACGTTGGATTGCATGCAGCCAGCAGTAACAGCCTGGCTGATCAGGCTCCGATCCACCATGAGGCCTGGTCACAGACCGGGCCGCGGGGGCGTTGAACCCCGGAACTCTCTCCAGGTAAACTCCAGGTAAACATCCCTACCCTCACCCTTCCATTCAAGAATCAACCACTCACACATGTTTCCCATCAAACCCTCACCCTGTGTGTCCTCTCAACCATCAATCCCTCACCGTCTAGTTTGAACTTCAGGTGGTCCCTCCAGTTAGCAGAATAGCAGTAGTAGGTATCAAAGTTTGCCACGTCGGTGTAAATGGTGTCTGCACGCTCTGAGCTGGCCATGTTGAAGTCGTACAGCTGGTAGATTAAGGCAGAACCCGCCTGGAGCACACCAGTTCCAATATTTATGTCCTGATGGGCAAGAAACTGCGGTTTCAGTGGTGGTAGTGATGGTGAAGATGGTTGTGGCTAATGAGGCTGGTGGTAGTGGTAGTGGTGGTAATAACGTATGATAGTAGGTAGTTGATAGTGAATTGCAGCAGTACTAGTGGGGATAGTGGTGGAGGTGGGAGATATAATAAATGAAATTGGGTATTATGTGGTGGTGAGTAACCAGAATGGATCGAAGTGAGGGAAGAAGACGTACTTACATCAATGTAGTCAACATTATATACTAAATTATATATATATTTATATATATATATATATATATATATAATATATATATATATATATATTATATAATATATATTAATATATATATATAATATATTTATTATCACACTGGCCAATTCCCACCAGGGCAGGGTGGCCCGAAAAAGAAAAACTTTCACCATCATTCACTCCATCACTGTCTTGCCAGAAGGGTGCTTTACACTAGTTTTTAAACTGCAACATTAACACCCCTCCTTCAGAGTGCAGGCACTGTACTTCCCATCTCCAGGACTCAAGTCCGGCCTGCCGGTTTCCCTGAATCCCTTCATAAATGTTACTTTGCTCACACTCCAACAGCACGTCAAGTATTAAAAACCATTCGTCTCCATTCACTCCTATCAAACACGCTCACGCACGCCTGCTGGAAGTCCAAGCCCCTCGCACACAAAACCTCCTTTACCCCCTCCCTCCAACCTTTCCTAGGCTGACCCCTACCCCGCCTTCCTTCCACTACAGACTGATACACTCTTGAAGTCATTCTGTTTCCTCCATTCTCTCTACATGTCCGAACCACCTCAACAACCCTTCCTCAGCCCTCTGGACAACAGTTTTGGTAATCCCGCACATCCTCCTAACTTCCAAACTACGAATTCTCTGCATTATATTCACACCACACATTGCCCTCAGACATGACATCTCCACTGCCTCCAGCCTTCTCCTCGCTGCAACATTCATCACCCATGCTTCACACCCATATAAGAGTGTTGGTAAAACTATACTCTCATACATTCCCCTCTTTGCCTCCAAGGACAAAGTTCTTTGTCTCCACAGACTCCTAAGTGCACCACTCACCCTTTTCCCCTCATCAATTCTATGATTCACCTCATCCTTCATAGACCCATCCGCTGACACGTCCACTCCCAAATATCTGAATACATTCACCTCTCCATACTCTCTCCCTCCAATCTGATATCCAATCTTTCATCACCTAATATTTTTTGTTATCCTCATAACCTTACTTTTTCCTGTATTCACTTTTAATTTTCTTCTTTTGTACGCCCTACCAAATTCATCCACCAATCTCTGCAACTTCTCTTCAGAATCTCCCAAGAGCACAGTGTCATCAGCAAAGAGCAACTGTGACAACTCCCACTTATGTTGATTCTTTATCTTTTAACTCACGCCTCTTGCCAAGACCCTCGCATTTACTTCTCTTACAACCCCATCTATAAATATATTAAACAACCACGGTGACATCACACATCCTTGTCTAAGGCCTACTTTTACTGGAAATAATTTCCCTCTTTCCTATGTACTCTAACTTGAGCCCACTATCCTCGTAAAAACTCTTCACTGCTTTCAGTAACCTACCTCCTACACCATACACCTGCAACATCTGCCACATTGCCCCCCTATCCACCCTGTCATACGCCTTTTCCAAATCATAAATGCCACAAAGACCTCTTTAGCCTTATCTAAATACTGTTCACTTATATGTTTCACTGTAAAACAACCTGGTCCACACACCCCCTACCTTTCCTAAAACCTCCTTGTTCATCTGCTATCCTATTCTCCGTCTTACTTTTAATTCTTTCAATAATAACTCTACCATAACACTTTACCAGGTATACTCAACAGACTTATCCCCCTATAATTTTTGCACTCTCTTTTGTCCCCTTTGCCTTTATACAAAGGAACTATGCATGCTCTCTGCCAATCCCTAGGTACCTTACCCTCTTCCATACATTTATTAAATAATTGCACCAAGCACTCCAAAACAATATCCCCACCTGCTTTTAACATTTCTATCTTTATCCCATCAATCCCGGCTGTCTTACCCCTTTCATTTTACCTACTGCCTCACGAACTTCCCCCACACTCACAACTGGCTTCTTCCTCACTCCTACAAGATGTTATTCCTCCTTGCCCTATACACGAAATCACAGCTTCCCTATCTTCATCAACATTTAACAATTCCTCAAAATATTCCCTCCATCTTCCCAATACCTCTAACTCTCCATTTAATAACTCTCCTCTCCTATTTTTAACTGACAAATCCATTTGTTTCTCTAGGTTCCTTAACTTGTTAATCTCACTCCAAAATTTTTTCTTATTTTCAACAAAATTTGTTGATAAACATCTCACCCACTCTCTCATTTGCTCTCTTTTTACATTGCTTCACCACTCTCTTAACCTCTCTCTTTTTCTCCATATACTCTTCCCTCCTTGCATCACTTCTCATATGCTAACTTTTTCTCCCTTACTACTCTCTTTACATCATCATTCCACCAATCGCTCCTCTTCCCTCCCACACCCACTTTCCTGTAACCACAAACTTCTGCTGAACACTCTAACACTACATTTTTAAACCTACCCCATACCTCTTCGACCCCATTGCCTATGCTCTCATTAGCCCATCTATCCTCCAATAGCTGTTTATATCTTTCCCTAACTGCCTCCTCTTTTAGTTTATAAACCTTCACCTCTCTCTTCCCTGATGCTTCTATTCTCCTTGTATCCCATCTACCTTTTACTCTCAGTGTAGCTACAACTAAAAGTGATCTGATATATCTGTGGCCCCTCTATAAACATGTACATCCTGAAGTCTACTCAACAGTCTTTTATCTACCAATACATAATCCAACAAACTACTGTCATTTCGCCCTACATCGTATCTTGTATACTTATTTATCCTCTTTTTCTTAAAATATGTATTACCTATAACTAAACCCCTTCTATACAAAGTTCAATCAAAGGGATCCCATTATCATTTACACCTGGCACCCCAAACTTACCTACCACACCCTCTCTAAAAGTTTCTCCTACTTTAGCATTCAGGTCCCCTACCACAATTACTCTCTCACTTGGTTCAAAGGCTCCTATACATTCACTTAACATCTCCCAAAATCTCTCTCTCTCCTCTGCATTCCTCTCTTCTCCAGGTGCATACACACTTATTATGACCCACTTTTCGCATCCAACCTTTACTTTAATCCACATAATTCTTGCATTTACACATTCATATTCTCTTTTCTCCTTCCATAACTGATCCTTCAACATTACTGCTACCCCTTCCTTTGCTCTAACTCTCTCAGATACTCCAGATTTAATCCCATTTATTTCCCCCCACCGAAACTCCCCTACCCCCTTCAGCTTTGTTTCACTTAGGGCCAGGACATCCAACTTCTTTTCATTCATAACATCAGCAATCATCTGTTTCTTGTCATCCGCACTACATCCACGCACATTCAAGCATCCCAGTTTTATAAAGTTTTTCTTCTTCTCTTTTTTAGTAAATGTCTACAGGAGAAGGGGTTACTAGCCCATTGCTCCCGGCATTTTAGTCGCCTCATACGACACGCATGGCTTACGGAGGAAAGATTCTTTTCCACTTCCCCATGGACAATAGAAGAAATAAAGAAGAACAAGAGCTATGTAGAAAAAGGAGAAAAACCTAGATGTATGTATATATATATATGCATGTGCGTGTCTGTGAAGTGTGACCAAAGTGTAAGTTGGAGTAGCAAGATATCCCTGTTATCTAGCGTGTTTATGAGACAGAAAAAGACACCAGCAATCCTACCATCATGCAAAACAGTTACAGGTTTCTTTTTCACAGTCATCGGGCAGGACGGTAGTACTTCCCGGGTGGTTGTGCTACCAATCTACTCCCTATTAAATATATATAATATATATATAATATATATTATATATATATATATATATTATATTATATATATATATATTTTTAAATTATATATATATTTGTCTAGTCCTGCCAAAGGGCTTGGCCAGGAGCCTGTCTATAAAGGACTATCACAATGATATATATTACACAAGTTTTACACTTTTGACAATGTACGTTAGTGGATCGCGATAGGAGAGAGAGAAGAGAGAGCAAGAATTTTTGAGAGGATGAGAGAGAGAGAGAGAGAGAGAGAGTACTGGGACTGACTATACTTTTAAGGCTGTAACGCGTAACCGACGGGTACTTCTGCTCCTCCACTAGATGGTCTCCCAATAATCCATTACACAAGTCCCCACGTTCTTCTGTAAACACAACAACACTCATTATCTGTTTGCTTTGTGACCCATACAGGTTAGCGTGTTTTAATGTATTAAAAATGCACTTTCAGTACACTGGTCATGGTTCCTAGCCTTGTTCCCCCAGCACTGTGTGCCTCTAACATTGTTCCCAAGCATCTGTTCTCCTCAACATTAAAATCCACCAGCACTGATGCTCTTCAACATAGTTCCCCCTAGCACTGGTGCTGCTCATCAATTGTTCCCATGCACTGGTGCTCTCAAATTGTTTCAGAACCTGTTTGCTGCTTCTCAACAATTAGTTCCACCAGCATGGTGCTCTCAAACATGTTGTTCCCCAGCACTGGTGCAGCTCTCAACATTGTTTCCCCACTGGTGCTTCAACATTGTTCCCCCACACTGTGCTCTCAACATTGTTCCACCAGCATTGGTGCTCATCAACATTGTTTCCCAAAGCACTGGTTGCTGCATCTAAACATTTTCCCCCACACTGGGAGCAAAGGAGCTGATCTCGTACCCTGCAATCACAATTAGTAGTAGTACTGGTGCTCTCAACATTGTTCACCAGCACTAGTCACTCAACATTGTTACCTCAGCACTGGTGCTCTCAAATTGTTCCCAACCAGCAATGTACTCTCAACATTGTTCCCCAACTGTTGGTGCTTCTCAGCATTGTTTCCATCAATGTGCTGCTCTCAACATTTTTCCCCCTGCACTGTGCTCTTCAAACATTGTTTCCCCACATGTGCTCTCAACATTGTTCCGCCAGCCAATGGTTGCTCTCACATGTTCCTCCAGCACTGGAGCTCGCACCATGTTCCCCAGTCACTGGTGTTTCACAACATTGTTCCATCCAGCACGAGTGAATGCTGCAAAGATACCCCAGAAATGAGCCTCAACATGTTCCCCCAGCACTGGTGCGCCTCAGCATTATTCCCGCCAGCACTGGGTGCTCAAACAAATGTTCCCCCAGAGCACTGTGCTGCTCTAAACATGTCCCCAGCACTAGTGCTCTAAAACATTGTCCCCCAGGAACTGTGCTGCTCTCAACATTGTCCAGCACTGGTACTCTAACCATTGTTACCCCCAGCACTGAGTGCTCCCAACATTGTTCCCCAGCACTTGTGCTCTCAAACATTGTTCCCCAACTGGTTGCCTCAATATTGCTCCCCAGCATGGTGCTGCTCTCAAATGTTTCACCACACTGTTCTCATCACATGTTTTCCCACACTGGTGCTCCACATTTTTCCCCCCAGCACTGTGCTGCTCTCAACAATTGTTCCCCCAGCACTGGTGCTGCTATCAACATTGCTTCCCCAGCACTGATGCTCTCAACATTGTTCCCCCAGCACTGGAGCTCTCAACATTGTACCCCCAGCACTGGTGCTGCTCTCAACATTGTTCCCCCAGCACTGGTGCTCTCAACATTGTTCTCCCAGCACTGGTGCTGCTCTCAACATTGTTCCCCCAGCACTGGTGCTGTCAACATTGTTTCCCCAGCACTGGTGCTGCTCTAAACATTGTTCCCCCAGCACTGGTGCTCTCAACATTGTTCCCCCAGCACTGGTGCTCTCAACATTGTTCCCCAGCACTGGTGCTCTCAACATTGTTCTCCCAGCACTGGTGCTCTCAACATTGTTCCCCCAGCACTGGTGCTGCTCTCAACATTGTTCGCCCATCACTGGTGCTGCTCTAAACATTGTTCCCCCTGCACTGGTGCTCTCAACATTGTTCCCTCAGCACTGGTGCTCTCAACATTGTTCCCCCAGCACTGGTGCTCTCAACATTGTTCCCCAAGCACTGGTGCTCTCAACATTGTTCCCCCAGCACAGGCGTTCTCAACATTGTTCCCCAGCACTGGTGATGCTCTCAACATTTTTCCCCCAGCACTGGTGCTCTCAACATTGTTCTCCCAGCACTGGTGCTCTCAACATTCTTCCCCCAGCACTGGTGCTCTCAACATTGTTCCCCCATCACTGGTGCTGCTCTCAACATTGTTCCCCCTGCACTGGTGCTCTCAACATTGTTCCCTCAGCACTGGTGCTCTCAAGCATTGTTCCCCCAGCACTGGTGCTCTCAACATTGTTCCCCAAGCACTGGTGCTCTCAACATTGTTCCCCCAGCACTGGCGTTCTCAACATTGTTCCCCAGCACTGGTGCTGCTCTCAACATTGTTCCCCCAGCACTGGTGCTCTCAACATTCTTCCCCCAGCACTGGTGCTCTCAACATTGTTCCCCAGCACTGGTGCTCTAAACATTGTTCCCCAGCACTGTGCTCTCAACATTGTTCACCCAGGAGATGGTGCTGTCTCAACATTGTCCCCAGCACTGGTGCTCTCAACATTGTTCCCCCAGCACTGGTGCTGCTCTTAACATGTTTTTCCCCCAGCACTGGTGCTCTCAACATTGTTTCCTCAGCACTGGTGCTCTCAACATTGTTCCCCCAGCACTGGTGCTGCTCTCAACATTGTTCCCCAGCACTGGTGCTCTCAACATTGTTCCCCCAGCACTGGTGCTGCTCTTAACATTGTTCCCCCAGCACTGGTGCTCTCAACATTGTTTCCTCAGCACTGGTGCTCTGAACATTGTTCCCAGCACTGGTGCTCTGAACATTGTTCCCCCAGCACTGGTGCTCTCAACATTGTTCCCCCAGCACAGGCGTTCTCAACATTGTTCCCCAGCACTGGTGATGCTCTCAACATTGTTCCCCCAGCACTGGTGCTCTCAACATTGTTTCCTCAGCACTGGTGCTCTCAACATTGTTCCCCCAGCACTGGTGCTCTCAACATTGTTCCCAGCACTGGTGCTCTCAACATTGTTCCCCCAGCACTGGTGCTCTCAACATTGTTCCCCAGCACTGGTGCTGCTCTTAACATTGTTCCCCCAGCACTGGTGCTCTCAACATTGTTTCCTCAGCACTGGTGCTCTCAACATTGTTCACCCAGCACTGGTGCTGCTCTCAACATTGTTTCCTCAGCACTGGTGCTCTCAACATTGTTCCCAGCACTGGTGCTCTGAACATTGTTCCCCCAGCACTGGTGCTCTCAACATTGTTCTCCCAGCACTGGTGCTCTAAACATTGTTCCCCCAGCACTGGTGCTCTCAACATTGTTCACCCAGGAATGGTGCTGCTCTCAACATTGTTCCCCAGCACTGGTGCTCTCAACATTGTTCCCCCAGCACTGGTGCTGCTCTTAACATTGTTCCCCCAGCACTGGTGCTCTCAACATTGTTTCCTCAGCACTGGTGCTCTCAACATTGTTCACCCAGCACTGGTGCTGCTCTCAACATTGTTCCCCAGCACTGGTGCTCTCAACATTGTTTCCTCAGCACTGGTGCTCTCAACATTGTTCCCCAGCACTGGTGCTCTCAATATTGTTCCCCAGCACTGGTGATGCTCTCAACATTGTTCCCCCAGCACTGGTGCTCTCAACATTGTTCCCCCAGCACTGGTGCTGCTCTCAACATTGTTCCCCCAGCACTGGTGCTCTCAACATTGCTTCCTCAGCACTGATGCTCTCAACATTGCTCCCCCAGCACTGGTGCTGTCAACATTGTGTCACAGTAATAGAGCTGAACTTGGTCACTAAGACGTGTGTATCTCTCAATGTGTACAGTATTTGTGTATTTGTTATTACTTTGGGAAAATTAATGTTTCTGTGACTCTCCTGAAACACTCCCGAGACTCTTGTGAATCCCGTAAAACTCCTGTGACTCTTCTGAGACTCCTGTTACTCCTGTGACTCTCCAAAGACTCCCGTGACTCTGCGGAGACTCCTGTGACTCTCCTGAGACTCCTATGACTCTCCTGAAACTCTCATGTGACTCTAGAAGTGCGTCTCCATCATGTGATAACCCGTACTGATTCACCATCCTCTGGTCTACTGTAACTAAAGTTTACATTTAAAAGAACAGAATGTTAGTGTCTAGTAGTTTGCTAAGACAATATCTTTCTAAAAGAAACAACAAGAGGGGAGATTACTAACGTCAGTGAAGGTCCACTGCCAGAGTGTGATAGCATCAGCTCCTGTAGGCCAGTCTGTCCTCTCTCCCCGCCATTCCTGACCAGCCAAGACCCTCACCACCCTGTAGTACAAACACCATCACTGTAGTGTGTGTCACCACCCTGTAGTACAAACACCATCACTGTAGTGTGTGTCACCACCCTGTAGTACAAACACCATCACTGTAGTGTGTCACCACCCTGCAGTGCAAACACCATCACTGTAGTGTGTCACCACCCTGCAGTACAAACACCATCACTGTAGTGTGTCACCACCCTGCAGTGCAAACACCATCACTGTAGTGTGTGTCAGCACCCTGCAGTACAAACACCATCACTGTAGTGTGTGTCAGCACCCTGCAGTACAAACACCATCACTGTAGTGTGTGTCAGCACCCTGCAGTACAAACACCATCACTGTAGTGTGTGTCAGCACCCTGCAGTACAAACACCATCACTGTAGTGTGTGTCCCACCCTGCAGTACAAACACACCATCACTGTATGTGTGTGTCACCACCTTTGCCTGCAGTACAAACACCATCACTGTAGTGTGTCACCACCCTGTAGTACAAACACCATCACTGTAGTGTGTCACCACCCTGTAGTACAAACACCATCACTGTAGTGTGTGTCACCACCCTGCAGTACAAACACCATCACTGTAGTGTGTCACCACCCTGTAGTACAAACACCATCACTGTAGTGTGTGTCACCACCCTGTAGTACAAACACCATCACTGTAGTGTGTGTCACCACCCTGTAGTACAAACACCATCACTGTAGTGTGTGTCACCACCCTGCAGTACAAACACCATCACTGTAGTGTGTCAGTACAAACACCATCACTGTAGTGTGTCAGTACAAACACCATCACTGTAGTGTGTGTCACCACCCTGCAGTACAAACACCATCACTGTAGTGTGTCAGTACAAACACCATCACTGTAGTGTGTCAGTACAAACACCATCACTGTAGTGTGTGTCAGACGAACAACCATCACTGTAGTGTGTGTCAGTACAAACACCATCACTGTAGTGTGTCAGTACAAACACCATCACTGTAGTGTGTGTCAGTACAAACACCATCACTGTAGTGTGTCAGTACAAACACCATCACTGTAGTGTGTGTCACCGCCATGTAGTACAAACATCACTCCAGCCACCACCAAAAACACCACTACAGAGTGTCCCATAATTTTAGAACCATAAAGGAATATTTTAAAACAAGAAGCAGTAAAGAAAAGCTTATGTTCGTAGAGGTGTAATACGTGTCACTGTACAAACCATCATTATGTATACATACGACTTATCCTCATAAATAAACCCTGAATGATATTACGAAAGATGGTCTTCAGACTTACAGGTCACCTCGTATAAACACCTCTCCTACATCACTACTTACTACTACCAGCCAGCAAGACCTACCCGGGGCCGTAGTAGACGTAATTAGTGGCGTTGGTCCCGAAAAAGCATTAGGTTGTCAGCCCAGGACGAAGAGATCCAGTGATGTCAGCCCATCAGTGTCGGAGTTGTTAATGATATTAACGCGTGCACCCCAGTCAAACACCCACCGTGAATGAGTACTCCACGCCTGAAAAAGAGGCACGGGTAGTGGTTAAGTGAAGGTCAGGAGTAGAATGATGGTTAAGTAAATTAATGTTTAGGATTGCGCATGTTAAAGGTGGTTAAGGTAGTAAGAAGAGCGGTTAGTGGTGTTGGAATGTAGTTTGGGTAAAGGGAAGGTAGATAGTGGGTAGTAGGAAGATAGTAGTGTGTAGAGAAAGGTATTAGTGTTTACACTACTACCTTAAGATAGTTTGGAGGAAAAGAAGAGGAAGGTAAGAGTAAAGAGGTAGTGACTTAAAATTATTAATACTAAAGAAAAATGTAAAAAAAATAATTCAAATTCCTTATAAAATTGTCTATAATATTATTAAAACAAGTCATGTTATTTGAGGACTGTAAAAAATAACTGAAGTATTAATTCATAACACCGTGAAGTTAGCTAAACCATCATTTCTTACAATTATGTTGAATAACAACAAATAACCCGCACAGGAGTAGAGTACTTACCACCACGTATAATGTCTGACTTGGACCTTTACCAAGTCAATTAATAAAAGATATGTTAGTAAGGATTGTCAGAACAGGCACAGTGTTTCCTGTCGCGGTCATAAGTCATATGATGACCCACAGCCTCGAGCTTTTGTCACTGACGAGGCCTTCCACTAACAAAGATAGAGAGAGAGAGGAGAGAGAGAGATGAGAGAGAGAGTGAAGTAAGTGAAGTGAGAAGTGAGAGAGAGAGAGGAGAGGAGGAGAGAGAGAGAGGATGAGGAGAGAAGAGAGGAGAGAAGTATGAGGAAGCAGATAAGAGATGGAAGAGAGAGAAGAGCCGGTATATATAGGCGAGGCTGGACGGGGAGGGACCAAGGAGGGAGAGGAAAAATAGTTGGAGGGTAAGGACATGGTAGTGGATAGTAGATCAGAAGTAGTATTAGTGCAGAAAAGTAAGAGTAAAAGTAGTTTTTAGTGGGACTAAGAGATAGAAAGGGAGTGAAGGGAGGCAATTTAATAATGGTATAGTAAAAGCAGTAGTATGGTATAAGTAGTTATTAATTATAAAGAAGTGGAGTCAGTCAAAGGACATGAAAAAGGAGCACCGCAATAGGGAGAAGCTTAAGGTCCACAAGGGTTGTTGTGTAATTGTATTCTAGTCACGGTATGTGGTTTTTTTGTTCCTCAGTTATGTTAAAGTTTCTTGACAGTATCATAGGTAAGAAAGCATTGAGGTTGTCAGTCCAGAGGGTGACAACTTCAATATAACTGAAGAACAAAAAAGCACACTACCCTGACTGGAACAATACAGAAATAATACAGAAATAACCTTGTGGGACCTTAACATATTTCTCAACGTATATGTACAGGAGGTTGATTATCTTTCAGTAAATATGTACAGAATTATTTGTCTTAGTGAAAATATAGAGATGATTATCTCTCAGTGTATTTTCACTTATGTTTATTTGTGTTATATTCTTAGAATTTACTTTAATCTCGACTTTTAAGACGTAAATTATTATTGATGTTAGTGTTTGGGCGGCAAGGAGACTTACCACGCCTTCATGAAGCTGATTTAAGTATAAGAAATAGACTAAGTTACCATCGTTAAAGTCGAAGACTTCGGTGGTGGTGACGAGGTTCTTGCCGATGATTACGTCGTGGTCGATCCTGTACAACTGTTTCTCAAAGTCATACCAACCCTGCTACCCGAGATGGGGCGGGGCGGGGTGGAGCAGGACGAGGTGGAGCAGGACGGGGTGGAGCAGGACGGGGTGGAGCAGGACGGGGTGGAGCAGGACGGGGTGGAGCAGGACGGGGTGGAGCAGGACGGGGTGGAGCAGGACGGGGTGGGGTGGAGCAGGTCACAAAAGAAGAAAAGTGGGTCAAAACGGTGAGAAAAAATGAATAAAACACTGGTTAAAGGAATTGTTATATGTATAAAATGAATAAAACATTTGGACACACAATGTAGTGACTTTGTGTGTCCAAATGTTTATAACAAGTCTTCAAAAACAACGATGCGTGCTAACACCTTGAGAAATACACGTTCTTTTGCTCGTTAATATATTTTTGAGGTAAACTAATACAAGTGAAGAAGTTCCTCAAGTTTTTATGAGGGAGAGAAAATATTTATCTGAAGCCAAGAGATCAAAAACCTGCAGCTCGTCCTTCGAACATCATGTGTTTATTATGACTCAAAATCAGTTAAAAAAATAATGAGGGTGACTTTAAAATTGTGACTTGGTATTCATGGAGATTCGTCATCTTGTTTAAATTGCTCTTATGAATGTAATAATTTGTTAAACTAAGTCAACAGACCTTAACTTAACTTAACCTAAATGTCATTTGTAGAGAAATTACCTTAATGGTATATACTTGTAATAATACAGTGTAACCTGTAGTAGTACAGTGTAACCTGTAGTAGTACAGTGTAACTTGTAGTAGTACAGTGTAACCTGTAGTAGTACAGTGTAACCTGTAGTAGTACAGTGTAACCTGTAGTAGTACAGTGTAACCTGTAGTAGTACAGTGTAACTTGTAGTAGTACAGTGTAACTTGTAGTAGTACAGTGTAACCTGTAGTAGTACAGTGTAACTTGTAGTAGTACAGTGTAACCTGTAGTAGTACAGTGTAACTTGTAGTAGTACAGTGTAACTTGTACTAGTACAGTGTAACCTGTAGTAGTACAGTGTAACTTGTAGTAGTACAGTGTAACGCTGTATGTAGTACAGTGTAACTTGTAGTAGTACAGTGTAACCTGTAGTAAGTACAGTGTAACTTGTAGTAGTACAGTGTAACTTGTAGTACAGTGTAACTGTAGTAGTACAGTGTAACTGTAGTAGTACAGTGTAACCTGTAGTAGTACAGTGTAACCTGTAGTAGTACAGTGTAACCTGTAGTAGTACAGTGTAACCTGTAGTAGTACAGTGTAAACTGTAGTAGTACAGTGTAAATGTAGTAGTACAGTGTAACCTGTAGTAGTACAGTGTAACCTGTAGTAGTACAGATGTAACCTGTAGTAGTACAGTGTAACCTGTAGTAGTACAGTGTAACTTGTAGTAGTACAGTGTACCTGTAGTAGTACAGTGTAACCTGTAGTAGTACAGTGTAACTGTATAGTACAGTGTAACCTGTAGTAGTACAGTGTACTTGTAGTAAGTACAGTGTAACTTGTAGTAGTACAGTGTAACCTGTAGTAGTACAGTGTAACTTGTAGTAGTACAGTGTACCTGTAGTAGTACAGTGTAACCTGTAGTAGTACAGTGTAACCTGTAGTAGTACAGTGTAACCTGTAGTAGTACAGTGTAACTTGTAGTAGTACAGTGTAACTTGTAGTAGTACAGTGTAACCTGTAGTAGTACAGTGTAACTTGTAGTAGTACAGTGTAACCTGTAGTAGTACAGTGTAACTTGTAGTAGTACAGTGTAACTTGTAATAGTACAGTGTAACCTGTAGTAGTACAGTGTAGCCTGTAGTAGTACAGTGTAACCTGTAGTAGTACAGTGTAACTTTAGTAGTACAGTGTAACCTGTAGTAGTACAGTGTAACCTGTAGTAGTACAGTGTAACTTGTAGTAGTACAGTGTAGCCTGTAAGTAAGTAGTACAGTGTAACCTGTAGTAGTACAGTGTAACCTGTAGTAGTACAGTGTAACTTGTAGTAGTACAGTGTAACCTGTAGTAGTACAGTGTAACCTGTAGTAGTACAGTGTAACCTGTAGTAGTACAGTGTAACCTGTAGTAGTACAGTGTAACCTGTAGTAGTACAGTGTAACCTGTAGTAGTACAGTGTAACTTGTAGTAGTACAGTGTAACTGTGTAGTAAGTAACATGTGTAACAGTGTAACTGTAGGTACAGTGTAACTTGTAGTAGTACAGTGTAACCTGTAGTAGTACAGTGTAACTTGTAGTAGTACAGTGTAACTTGTAGTAGTACAGTGTAACCTGTAGTAGTACAGTGTAACTTGTAGTAGTACAGTGTAACCTGTAGTAGTACAGTGTAACTTGTAGTAGTACAGTGTAACCTGTAGTAGTACAGTGTAACCTGTAGTAGTACAGTGTAACCTGTAGTAGTACAGTGTAACCTGTAGTAGTACAGTGTAACTTGTAGTAGTACAGTGTAACCTGTAGTAGTACAGTGTAACCTGTAGTAGTACAGTGTAACCTGTAGTAGTACAGTGTAACCCTTGTAGTAGTACAGTGTAACTGTACTAGTACAGTGTAACCTGTAGTAGTACAGTGTAACCTGTGTACGTAGTACAGTGTAACCTGTAGTAGTACAGTGTAACTTGTAGTAGTACAGTGTAACCTGTAGTAGTACAGTGTAACCTGTAGTAGTACAGTGTAACTTGTACTGGTACAGTGTAACCTGTAGTAGTACAGTGTAACCTGTAGTAGTACAGTGTAACCTGTAGTAGTACAGTGTAACTGTACGTAGTACAGTGTAACCTGTAGTAGTACAGTGTAACCTGTAGTAGTACAGTGTAACCTGTAGTAGTACAGTGTAACCTGTAGTAGTACAGTGTAACTTGTACTAGTACAGTGTAACCTGTAGTAGTACAGTGTAACCTGTAGTAGTACAGTGTAACCTGTAGTAGTACAGTGTAACTGTAGTAGTACAGTGTAACTTGTACTAGTACAGTGTAACCTGTAGTAGTACAGTGTAACCTGTAGTAGTACAGTGTAACCTGTAGTAGTACAGTGTAACTTGTAGTAGTACAGTGTAACCTGTATAGTAGTTACAGTGTAACTTGTAGTAGTACAGTGTAACCTGTAGTAGTACAGTGTAACTTGTAGTAGTACAGTGTAACCTGTAGTAGTACAGTGTAACCTGTAGTAGTACAGTGTAACCTGTAGAGTACAGATGTAACCTTTTAGTAGTACAGTGTAACCTGTAGTAGTACAGTGTAACCTGTAGTAGTACAGTGTAACCTGTAGTTGTACAGTGTAACCTGTAGTAGTACAGTGTAACTTGTACTAGTACAGTGTAACCTGTAGTAGTACAGTGTAACTTGTAGTAGTACAGTGTAACCTGTAGTAGTACAGTGTAACTTGTATAGTACAGTGTAACCTGTAGTAGTACAGTGTAACCTTGTAGTAGTACAGTGTAACCTTGTAGTAATACAGTGTAACCTGTATAGTACAGTGTAACTTGTAGTAGTACAGTGTAACCTTGTAGTAGTACAGTGTAACTTGTAGTAGTACAGTGTAACCTGTAGTAGTACAGTGTAACTTGTAGTAGTACAGGTAACTTGTAATAGTACAGTGTAACCTGTAGTAGTACAGTGTAGCCTGTAGTAATACAGTGTAACCTGTAGTAGTAACACTTTGTAAGAGACATCTGAAAGTGAGTAATCATGCGGGCCTATAATCCATGTTTAGTTACACCATGTAGACAGTGTGACCTGTAGTGCTTGATCAGATAAGATAAGTAAGATTTCGTTCGGATTGTGTAACCCCGAGGGTTAGCACCCAGGATAACCAGAAAGTCAGTGCGTCATCGTAGGACTGTTAACTTATTTCCATTGGGGTCCTTAATCTTGTCCCCCAGGATGCGACCCACACCAGTCGACTAACACCCATGTACCTATTTGCTGCTAAGTGAACAGGACAACAGGTGTAAGGAAACGTGTCGAAATGTTTCCACCCGCCGGGAATCGAACCCGGACCCTCCGTGTGTGAAGCGGGAGCTTTAGCCACCAGGCCACCGGGCCACACCACCATCATTATTATATATAGATAGTTTGCATTGCTCTACGAGAATCAATATTTAGGAAGACATATATATAGAAATGTCTTCTAATTACCTTTGTTTACTTACATCAGCCCAGGTGAAGTCCTGGACATCTGTCTGCTGCATCTCTAAGCTGAAGGTGAAGAGGCGGTCCATGGAGAAATCTGGGAAGGAATGTTCTGCTTCAGGGATGAGCGTAGGGCAGTACATGTCTTGTGGGACCTGTCTACCCAGCAGCCGAGGTCACCACAGAGTAGTAGTGACCACAGAGCATGGTCGTCACAGCGTCGTTGTTGTGTTGTCACATCCACACAACCAAGCAGAAAGACAGCATGTGAGGTCATCTGCGTCACCATGGTGGGATATAACAGTACTAGCTAAGTGACCTCACTAACTATAAACAATAGTGTTAACGAAGAATAAGACCGCAGTACAAGAAACTTGAAAGATCAACTACTAGCAGTATAATTATCGTTTCTGCCTATTATTACACATAATAAACTATAGCATAATTTCAATAAAGCTAATTTTACTACCAGCTGGCCACAAGAAAACATTGTAATAACAAAGAAGAGATCTGCAACAGACAATAAGTGAGAGGAAGCGAGACTGACGGGGTTAATACCAATGATGTTAACCTACACATTCACCATCCATAAGAAAAACAAAAAACATTGGTTACCATATAACACTGGGAAACCTCACAGTCTATTGTAACAACTTAATATAATTTTGAACATAACTGGTATAGCTATAATAAACATAAACATTAATATAACCAGCAGGAGACAAAGGGGACCTTAATTAACACCACAACGAGAGCCTCCCAGAATATTTCATCTCGTTCCTAGTACAGTACTGCATTTATTTATTTTATTCATCTCCGTATGGCTTCTAACTCTAGTGTATTACTACTTTCATCTCGTGTGATGAATAGTTTGAAAAACCGACAAGTTGAAGATTGAGACACTTAATGCAGCGCATATGGGATCTTTATCAGGAACGTTCGCACACAGTGGCTTCATCAGTCCAATACAAAGAGGAAGCGTAAGAGGGAGGAGAATGAGGTAATCAGTCCCTCCTGGAGTCGAATGTGTTCAGACTCCAATCTTGTAGAATGATGGATGCACCATCGCTCCAGGTTGAGGACCTGTAGCTCATGCTCTCCTTTCTCCTTACGCCTGCCTCTTCGTTTGGACTGCATGAAGCCACTGTTGGCGAAACGTTTCCGAATAAAGTTCCATATGACTGCATAAGTGTATCAATCTTACTACTTTCATCTACCAAATATTAACTAACCTAACCATAACTTGTGCACTATTAACACAGGGTTAATAGTTGTAATGAAAAAATTCTTGTCTGGTCCTAGTGTGATAAACAACGAAGTATCGCGAACATTGTTCTCTTACTACGCTGACACAAAGGTCAGTATTAGCAGCACCAACGTGATAGTCATACTGACGGTGAAGGCGGTGTAGTCCACGGTGCCAGGGTTGTAGTACATGACGTTGTGAACCTCCAACTTGATGGTGGTGGTGGTGTCTCCCTCTCTCTCGTGCATCTCCACCTCCCAACCCAGGGGCCACGACACTCCATTTATCCCTAATGTTGCCATACGCCAGTTGGAGGCTGCCTCACGTAGAGGGAAAAACAGGTCAGCCAGGTTCATAGAGGTCAACGAGGGCGGCTTGCTAACTTACACGTATATGAATGATATATATTAACTTATACATTAAATATCCACTACCTCACACACACACACATACACACACACACACACACACACACACACACACACACACACACACACACACACACACACACACACACACACACTAAGGAAAATAAACAGCTGCCGAAATGACATTAGAAAGCTTTTCTTCGTAAAGTGGAAGATCAAGGGAAAGATTTACAAGAAGAGTAATAACTGCTACAACCACTGGAGGAGGTAGTAACTGCTACAACCACTGGGGGAGGTAGTAACTGCTACAACCACTGGGGGAGGTAGTAACTGCTACAACCACTGGAGGAGGTAGTAACTGCTACAACCACTGGGGGAGGTAGTAACTGCTACAACCACTGGAGGAGGTAGTAACTGCTACAACCACTGGAGGAGGTAGTAACTGCTACAACCACTGGAGGAGGTAGTTACTACTACAACCACTGGGGGAGGTAGTTACTGCTACAACCACTGGAGGAGGTAGTAACTGCTACAACCACTGTTGAGGTAGTAACTGCTACAACCACTGGAGAGGTAGTAACTGCTACAACCACTGGAGGAGGTAGTAACTGTTACAACCACTGGAGGAGGTAGTAACTGCTACAACCACTGGAGGAGGTAGTAACTGCTACAACCACTGAGGAGGTAGTTACTACTATAACCACTGGAGGAGGTAGTAACTGTTACAACCACTGGAGGAGGTAGTAACTGCTACAACCACTGGAGGAGGTAGTTACTGCTACAACCACTGGAGGAGGTAGTAACTGCTACAACCACTGGAGAGGTAGTAACTGCTACAACCACTGGAGGAGGTAGTAACTGTTACAACCACTGGAGGAGGTAGTAACTGCTACAACCACTGGAGGAGGTAGTTACTACTATAACCACTGGAGAGGTAGTTACTTCTACAACCACTGGAAACTATTTTGTTTACGAAAGGCTACATATTTAACACAGAACACCAAGAGCTTGTTTCTGCTGGTGTAATTACAGACAGGTAACCACACACGAACAACCAGCCACAGCCAACACTGACCGCTCCAGTAGGTTGCCATGGATATATTTGGTGTGGCAACGTCAGCCTCGAACTGCTTCAAGCCACACCAGTCCCAACGGTAAGACGCCATTCCCCGGTGCTGGTAGTCGCCCTGTCCAAAGGAGGCAGTGGTTAGTCTGAAGAACATAATTACTTTGCCTCATCTATCGTAGGCAAGACGCCTTTCTAAATCAGAATATATAAGCATAAAAGTACCTCATATATATATTAGATACGCATATTACATATTTATTTTTATTTATTCTACAAACTAATACACTATAAGTGCGGTAAAAGATGAGGTACTGACTTTATAGTGGGTATCGGACCAGTGGAGGATGCCCAGGGGCACGGCTGGTTCTAGCATGGTGTCGGTGGAAATGTTATTACTGGAGCCCCACAACACAGGGAAGAGGTACGTTGCTTCCTCCAGTGGCCGCAGGAGACACTCTCTCATGCTGCTGCCTGAGAATGTGTCGTACTTAGGACACCACAACATATTTAAAGACCGCTATTGTCTTAAGACGATACGCTCGGAAAGACAGACTTTGTTGCTCCTGTTGCTCAGTGTGCAGTGAGTTCTCTTACCTCTTATTGAAAGTGAGAGATTTGATGACTAACTTGAAAGACTGGATCACACCCACACATTCGTCGACTCGTCAGCACTTCAGTGATAAAAGATACCACTGAGGCTCACTTGTATTTACTTATGAAAGGTAATAAAGTAAACAAGTGTATCCATTACAAAGTTAACGAGCATCGAGCCTCCACCCTCTCGTTGTGATTTAGCGCTTCATATAAAGCTTATAAGGAGAAAAAGCAACAGTCTGACAACACTGGAGACGTTCATAAACTGAAAGGATGTGATCGCAGTATGCAAAATACTGGATGTGTCGACAGGTTGGACTTACTGTATAGATACACAGCTTGACATACTGGGGAGCAAGATGGGGCTCAGAGTTGACACAGAACACAAGAAAAAGTGTTTTCAGTCTGAAAGTAATGAAGTAACGCACTGAGAGCAGGTAGGGCAATGGAGACTGACTACATACACGGGTTTACAAGTATATATGAGAACTAAATTACACTAGTAGGCTGAAAGAATTAGTTATAAGAAATGGACCACAAGCTGAACTAGATAAGTATATACAAATACTTGATAATAAACATGGGCTGACCGAAGTGTCGTCCTGACTTATTACCAAATTTAGAATTAGTTGAGATTTGTTGTAGCTACTGAAGACAAGATTCAGGTTGCAGGAAAAATAAACTTTTATTGGTCCAACATTTCAGTGTAAAGTTTGTTCTGCGACGTACGTCTTCGCTTCACTATTGTCGGCAGTACGATGCTCATTCAGCCAGCCACGGTGTTGTAACTTCTATCTTAATATTATTTCTTATGGCAAGAACATACAAGAATTAACTGTACTTACTGCCATCCTTAGGGCTGCGTAGGACCATCATCTGCTGGCTGTTCCAGTTAAGGATGTACTTCTCGACCAACTGCTTGGAGGAGATCTCCACGGAGAGTCTTCTGCCCGGCCCGTCGTACGCGTACTCCACGTACATCACTGTCATCACCGACAACACTCACTCATTTTGGGCAGTATCCTAAAGGTCCTATAGGATGCTATACATCCCATTGGGTCTTTAGGTTATTGTATGTTTTGTATGGTAATTTAAAAATAAATATTAGTTACTGGTCCAAGTCTGTCCGAAACGTCGAAATAAGTTTCTTTATATTATGTGGGGTTTATTTGTGTATCCCTGGAGAGTATTCCGGGGGTCAACGCCCCCGCGGCTTTGTCCATGACCAGGCCCTCTCTCTGGATCAGGGCCTGATCAACCACGGCTGTTACTGCTGGTCGCACGTAAACCAAGGTACGAACCACAGCCCAGCTGGGCAGGTACTGACCTCTGGTGTCTGTCCAGTCCCTCTTGAAAACAGCCAGGGGTCTACTGTTCCAGTCAGGGCATTGTGCCTTTTTATTCTTTATTTGTTTGTTTCTGTATGTAAGAGTAGGGGTCTTTTTTTGTACTTACGTTGATCTTTGTATGTGTGGTGTACTTGTATTTTGAAAACACAGTATTGTGGAGGCCGTAATTTTTTTAGTCAGTTTAATATCTTCATTATGCACCCCATACCCATCCTGTGGGTGGTAGTCAGAAAATTACAGAGGTACATAATGGGTCCAGGGACTGGGTCCCAAAGTTTTGATAGCTGAACAAGTTACACTGGTAATGAATTATTTATGTGTTTATATCTTGTTACAATAGTAATGAGTTATTTATGGGCAGACATAAATTAGGTCGCACACACACACGTTTAATGGTGATGCGTTATTTACAGTGGGCAAAGTCAGGGTATTTCTCCAGGTCATAAGTCTAGAGATGTAATAGTGTTCCTTAAGTATTTATAAGTGGAATACGATATTAACTTGAAGTGTCTTGTGACACTTTTTCAAATGTAGCATGGTCGTGTTTGTGAGAGGTGATGTTGGCAAATGGGATAGTATCGGAGCAAAAGGAGGCGTGGGAGAGTGTGGGAGCAACAGGAGGCGTGGGAGAGTGGTACAACAGATGTGAGAGTGGGAGCATCAGGAGTCATGAGAGTGTGGGACAACAGAAGGCATGGGAGAGTGTGGGATAACAGGTGTGGGATAACAGGAGGCGTGGGAGAGGGAATGCAAGAGAGCGAGAGGTGACTCACCTATATGCTCTGGGCTGGAGGAAGGTCCCTCAAGAACGGCTCTCACAACCTCCACCTTGGCTGTGTAGTGTTGAGACACCACCGGTTGACTTGGCGGATCCGCTGAAACAATCCAAAATGAGAGTCTAAGATCCCCCAGAACTGTTGGAAGTATTCCAGACTTGCTGGAAATATTCCAGACCTGCTGGAAGTGTTCCAGACCTGCTGGAAGTATTTCATATCTTCTTTGAAGTATTCCATACACAGTGAAAATATTCCAGACTTACTGGAAGTATCCAAGTCTTGGATAAAAGTTACTCGTACAACGCATTGTATCCAACACTGTAAATTATTTAAAAAAAAAAAATATTGGACAAGATCTAAGAAAGATTGAGACAATCATCAATAAATTTGACTTTGTGCCCTACCCATATTCTTAATATATTACCACATAACACATTCGCTATCTTTCCCATATTTTATGTATCTATTAAGCACGTGTGATGATGCCTGTGTATATATGAAGGATGTGAGGATCTAGGATGATGCCTGTGTATATATGAAGGATGTGAGGACCTGGGATGATGCCTGTGTATATATGAAGGATGTGAGGACCTGGGATGATGCCTGTGTATATATGAAGGATGGATTAGATATATCATCAAATCAAGAATTGTTATTGATCCTAACATCAACTGTTAGACAGGTGTGTGGACAAAGTTCAAAATATTTTTTCTCTGGGTTCTGAAAGTTAAGCTTCAAATTACTACTACAGTTACCATTTACAGTCAACATTTGGTCACCACTTACGTTGGTCTGGTAATGGGTCGCAGTACTGCGTGTCAGCACTACTGCCGCTGCCATCCTGACCTACAGCCTCTGGTATCTCTGCCGCCTCTGCCATCCCTGCCAGTACCACAGCCACGAACAGTGACAGTATCACTGCCACCAAGGATTTTCTTAACGACATTCGTATAGTTTTTCTTCACTCAGTCTATGAGACCAGGAAAAATTGACTGAGTCGTGTTAAACAGTTGTTCAATGTTTAGTTTTACACTTTACTGACCCAATAGCAGTTGATGAATTCATTAGTAGATTAAATTATCTACATGTAATTTTACCACTAACAACAAATAATTCATTTGTTGTTAGCGTGTTCCACAGACATTTAATCACTAAAACTGACGACAAATAAAATGAGTGGTAGATTTAAGTATACTCTTACAGACTATCTGCTACTAGAACAACAAAATTAAGTGGAAAAATGAACTTAGACGTCTATAAACTGTACACCAACTTTCATGCCTCTCTTGATCGGTGGTAATGACTTCAGACCCAGGGAAGTATTAACTGGAAACTTACTTGCGTGGTCCGTGTTGTGATTCCTCCACTTATTCTTTGTGACTGATGACCGGGTGAAAATTGGGACATATCACCACAACAACAACTTGTTTTATCCTTATCTGCGGCAACGCCCCTGCAGTTAGTCCCTCGGTATTGCCACTATCTTGCTACTTCCCTCATCATCACTACCTCCCCCTTTTCCTCATTCCCTGAACTGTGGGGTTATAGGTGACATGTAGTTCAGTGGTTCCATTCGGCTCGCAGCCGACAGGTCTGGAGTTTGTTCCTTGGGCCGTGACAACATGGCAAGTTTCCTTATATAAACCACTACTACGTCTTCTCATCTATCCGACTGTCGTGGTATCCTGGGGAAAAAGATACTATGCAAATATATAAGAAGTTCGATTTTCACATGAAGTCGTATCTTAAACAAATTCCAATTTGTAAGAAAGCTCCAGGATATGCTGGGTAAAATGCTGCATTGGCATTCTTGTACTTAGTAAGAATTTGTTGTAAAGCTCCTCGATGTTGCTTTGTATCTCATTAGGTATCATTGTGAGTATTCTATTAAAATATCTCAAACATATTCTACATATTTGCGTGAAATGTTGCACACATAGGTTAAGAAACTGTAGTTAAATAATAATAGGTTAAACCACGATACGGGTGGGGCTTGAACTCGCGGCAAGTAAGTCATAAAAGTCCAAGTTAGTACGTAAGCCACTGGGGCTGGAGTTTTACGACTCACTTGCCTCAAGTTCAAGCCCCACCCATACCGTGGTTCGTTTGTGATCGTGTCATTACGATTTCGTGAGACAAAAGTAGGTTAAGAGTTAATTCCCCGCCAAGGCCACATCGTCGCAACCTCAACACTAACATCTGTGTGGTTGCACAATTAGTCTTTATAAGAGAGACTTCCACTGAGCACAAGCACAGTTCTGCCGGTAACCCTTAACACATCACATTTCCAGTATATTTTACATTCATGAGTCTAAATTACAGCTGTACATTTTACTGTTTCACCACAACATATACGAATCAAAACTAAATGTTTTGCAACAACTTGATTGTATACCAGGCATATATTGTATATATTCTTGGTATTAATTTATAAAGTTTTCTCGTCTGGGTTGTTCATAGAGTTCCCTGAGGGACGATGGCATGAACCAGGGTTCCATAGAGTTCCCTGAGGGACGATGGCATGAACCAGGGTTCCATAGAGTTCCCTGAGGGACGATGGCATGAACCAGGGTTCCATAGAGTTCCCTGAGGGACGATGGCATGAACCAGGGTTCCATAGAGTTCCCTGAGGGACGATGGCGTGAACCAGGGTTCCATAGAGTTCCCTGAGGGACGATGGCGTGAACCAGGGTTCCATAGAGTTCCCTGAGGGACGATGGCATGAACCAGGGTTCCATAGAGTTCCCTGAGGGACGATGGCATGAACCAGGGTTCCATAGAGTTCCCTGAGGGACGATGGCATGAACCAGGGTTCCATAGTTCCCTGAGGGACGATGGCATGAACCAGGGTTCCATAGAGTTCCCTGAGGGACGATGGCATGGACCAGGGTTCCATAGAGTTCCCTGAGGGACGATGGCATGAACCAGGGTTCCATAGAGTTCCCTGAGGGACGATGGCATGAACTAGGGTTCCATAGAGTTCCCTGAGGGACGATGGCATGAAACAGGGTTTCATAGAGTTCCCTGAGGGACGATGGCATGAACCAGGGTTCCATAGAGTTCCCTGAGGGACGATGGCATGAACCAGGGTTCCATAGAGTTCCCTGAGGAACGATGGCATGAACCAGGGTTCCACAGAGTTCCCTGAGGGACGATGGCATGAACCAGGGTTCCATAGTTCCCTGAGGGACGATGGCATGAACCAGGGTTCCATAGAGTTCCCTGAGGGACGATGGCATGAACCAAGGTTCCATAGTTCCCTGAGGGGCGATGGCATGAACCAGGGTTCCATAGAGTTCCCTGAGGGACGATGGCATGAACCAGGGTTCCATAGTTCCCTGAGGGACGATGGCATGAACAAGGGTTCCATAGAGTTCCCTGAGGGACGATGGCATGAACCAGGGTTCCATAGTTCCCTGAGGGACGATGGCATGAACCAGGGTTCCATAGAGTTCCCTGAGGGACGATGGCATGAACCAGGGTTCCATAGAGTTCCCTGAGGGACGATGGCATGAACCAGGGTTCCATAGAGTTCCCTGAGGGACGATGGCATGAACCAGGGTTCCATAGAGTTCCCTGAGGGACGATGGCATGAACCAGGGTTCCATAGAGTTCCCTGAGGGACGATGGCATGAACCAGGGTTCCATAGAGTTCCCTGAGGGACGATGGCATGAACCAGGGTTCCATAGAGTTCCCTGAGGGACGATGGCATGAACCAGGGTTCCATAGAGTTCCCTGAGGGACGATGGCATGAACCAGGGTTCCATAGAGTTCCCTGAGGGACGATGGCATGAACCAGGGTTCCATAGAGTTCCCTGAGGGACGATGGCATGAACGAGGGTTCCATAGAGTTCCCTGAGGGACGATGGCATGAACCAGGGTTCCATAGAGTTCCCTGAGGGACGATGGTATGAACCAGGGTTCCATAGAGTTCCCTGAGGGACAATGGCATGAACGAGGGTTCCATAGAGTTCCCTGAGGGACGATGGCATGAACCAGGGTTCCATAGAGTTCCCTGAGGGACGATGGTATGAACCAGGGTTCCATAGAGTTCCCTGAGGGACAATGGCATGAACGAGGGTTCCTTACAACAATGTTCATAGTAGAGTTCGCCCAGAGGGACGGTGAAAGTTCTGAAGGTGAAAATACTTATAAAACTTGTAATATGAGGCCAAAGGTCACCCACATCTCCCACGTATATATGTGCCCTGCCATTATTTTCACTGACTGGAGTTTGAGTAATACTATTGTTTACATATCAGTATAAGCAAAAATTATAAGATTTATTCAGGCTTAAAAAAAATTACTTAACAGGCATTATACATTTTTTTAAATGGTTACATTAAACACATAGAAGTTAAAGGCAATCCAAAGTCTGAATGTTCCAGACAGTGGATCAGACTTCTCCAGGCTGAGGTTAGTTTATTTAGGTATAGGTACACATAAGTACAATTATCATACATAGCTTAAATTACCTAGGATAATCCCCCCATAAAAAGTCATCAGAGTGACTTTTCCATTGGGGTGCAGACCACCTCAAAACTACGTCTTCAAGGGCGAGGGACTGATTAATCGTCTTTACATCTTTACTGCTTCTGTTGCCTCTATGTTCTACTGAAGAAACCTGCTGTGTAGGCGAAACATTTCGGAATAAATATACCTAACTGTTACACACGTATCTTACTTATCCACCCATCTTACTTATCCATCCACTGCTCTGCTACCAAACGGTTGGGATCCTCTCCAAGATACGATACTACGTGCCGCAAAATGCCCTTCTCACACTATACCACTCACTTATTTATCCATACCTCACCTATGCTATTTGTGCTTGGGGATCAACTGCAGCAACACACCTAAAGCCAATAATAACCCAACAAAAAGCTGCAGTAAGAATAATCACTAAATCCCATCCCTGGCAGCACACCCCCCCACTCTTCAAAGATCTAAACTTACTCCCAGTTCAGTACATCCACACTTACTACTGTGCAATCTATATCTACAGGGCCTTAAACTCTAATATCAACCTTGACCTAAAACGCTTTCTTGATAGTTGTGACAGAACCCACAGGCATAACACCAGACACAAACATCTCTACGACATTCCCCGTGTCCGACTAAACCTTTACAAAAATTCAATGTATGTCAAAGGCCCTAAAATCTGGAATACCCTACCTGAGAACTCTAGAACTGCAGACACATTCATCACCTTCAAAACTACCATTAGAAAACATCTTATCTCCCTGATACACCCCGTCAACTAACTACACGAATACCACCTGGTGGTTCACACTTACACTCACTCACTCATTTGACCATAAACAGAAATATTAATCTCAGTCTTAAAATAATGAATCCTGTGATACTCCAATACTGAAACTATATACTGTGCCAAAACAAAAGCATTCACATTGCTAAACTCATAAACTAGTATTTAGTCACTTAGCCATAATACCAACTTACCTCGTAATTTGTAATATTTTACAATTAAGAATAAAACTAAGTATGCCCGAAATGCCTAGCCATGCTAAGCGTTCTAGTGGTACACTCTGTAATCACAATTTTACTACATGTTAACCAAACAATAACCAAATTTCTGTAAACTCAGCATTGTAATCCTTATAGAGAATAAACTTTGAATTGAATTTGAATCAATAATGGTTTGTGAGGTAGACGAAGCCAAGGTTGTGGTTGAGGGTTGCGAGGCAGGGTAGCTAGGGCAGTCAGTACACATGGCACTCAGGCGCCAACACTTGTCTCTACCCTCACGTGGCCTCTGTTCTATACTCATTTCTTCGCCATTTCCTCCAAAATGCCCTTCTATGCTGTTGCCAGAGGTCATAAACCAGGCATTTATAAGAGATGGTGAGAACTTAGTGTAGAAATGTATGTTTAGAGACGCATACACAAACTCCCGGGCCTATTGTCCCATGCTAGTTAAGTATTGTCCTTCCGTGTAACTTATATTTAAAGCTACCCAAAGTTATTTCGTTAATAATGCTACATAAGAGTTAATTTTACTTATCTACAAATCTGTTGCTAAACCTGTACTTCCCTATACGTATTTCTAACTATAAATGTCTCCAACTTGAACCCAGATACTTTCAACCCTTCATAAACATCCCCATTTTTCATATTTTTCATTTGTACATTTCTGTCATATCCCCCTAATTCTCCATTTTTTTTCCAGGGAATGTAAATTCAATGCCTTGCTATCTTCGTAGGAAGGATTCCCCATGGCATCACCTTCATCCTTCTCTGTTTTCCGGCACATTTACCACCATTCTGAGCACCATAATCTAAATAAGGTCTAAATACTGACATATCAACTTGGACTATAACCCAATTCTTAGTACTTATATTTCTTGATATGATACTGAGAATTTTGTTACCTTGATTGTGAACACAAGTTTATATAGACACAAGTACAATTATCATACATAGGATAACCCCCAAAAAAAAGTCAAAGTGATGACTTATTTCCATTTAAATTACTGTTAATGTGTTTAGCACTTGGTTATGATGATAATTACTGTTAATCAGAACTAACTCTTTTCACATTAATGTTGACTACAAACTTTGTTGTTTATAAGTACTACAGCTATTTTCTTTTCCTAGAATTAGACCCTTACACTTGTTCACATTTAACTACATCTGCCACTTCTCTGATCACAAGCAGTCCAGAATATTTTGCTGTGAATTTTGTCAAGGTTAGGACCCAAAACCAGTATGATACTAGGGAAATTGAACAAAATTTTGTAGTACCTGCAGTAAGTGGTGACGCCTCAGATACCTTTTATTATACACCAATAAAAGAAAGGAAGGTATTGCCTGTACATGACAAAGCCAGTTTTCATGTCTCCCACAGGATGGGTATGGGGTACACAGGATGGGTATGGGGTACACAGGATAGGTATGGGGTACACAGGATGGGTATGGGGTACACAGGATGGGTATGGGGTACACAGGATAGGTATGGGGTACACAGGATGGGTATGGGGTACACAGGATGGGTATGGGGTACACAGGATGGGTATGGGGTACACAGGATGGGTATGGGGTACACAGGATGGGTATGGGGTACACAGATGGGTATGGGGTACACAGGATGGGTATGGGTACACAGGATGGTATGGGTACACAGGATGGGTATGGGGTACACAGGATGGGTATGGGGTACACAGGATGGGTATGGGGTACACAGGATGGGTATGGGGTACACAGGATGGGTATGGGGTACATAATAAAGATTTTAAACTAACTTGTGTAGTTAGCATTTGTGTGACTTATTTTAACCATGACTCATTTCTATTTTATCTCTTATAGCTAAGCTGCTAATAATAAGATATTACAGGGCCCCAATGGAAATTAGTAATTTTCTTTGACTTTCTTGGCTTATCCAAGGTAATTACACATATGTTACTATATATGACAATTGTCATCACCTAAAACTTGTGTAATTGTGTCAAAATAAACTTACACAGCATCAACCTAGACAGGTTATCCTGGAATACTTGAGGAAATAAAAAATGTATCAGGGTATACAACAAATTCTAACCATACAATAGAGCAAAAAAGTAATGTGAAGGACTTGGAAGTGATAATGTCAGAAGATCTCACCTTCAAAGACCACAACAATGTATCTTCTGCATCTGCTAGGAAAATGATAAGATGGATAATGAGAACCTTCAGAGCTAGGGATGCCAAGCCCATGATGATTCTCATCAAATCGCTTGTTCTCTCTAGGCTAGAATACTGCTGTACACTAACTGCTTCATTCAAGGCAGGCAAAATTGCTGTCCTGGAGAGTGTACAAAGAACTTTCACAGCACACATAAATACGATAAGGCACCTAAATTACTGGGAGCGGTTGAAGTCCCTTGATTTGTATTCCCTGGAATGCAAGCGATAGAGATGCATGATAATATACACTTGGAAAATCCTAGAGGGATTAGTACCAAACTTGCATATGAAAATCACTCGCTATGAAAGCAAAAGACTCGGTAGGAGATGCAACATTCCCCCAGTGAAAAGCAGGGGCGCCACGAGTACACTGAGAGACATCACAATAAGTGTCCTGGAGTATACCTGGAGAGGGTTTCGGGGGTCAATGCCTCCCCAGCCCGGTCTGAGACCAGGCCTTGTGGTGGATCAGAGTCTGATCAACCAGACTGTTACTGTTAGCCACACGCAAACTGACGTACGAACCACAGCCTGGCTGGTCAGGTACTGACTTTAGGTGCCTGTCCAGTGCCTTCTTGAAGACAGCCAGGAGTCTGTTGGTAATCCCCCTTATGTATGCATGGAGGCAGTTGAACAGTCTTGGGCCTCCCAACATTCATAAGGGGAATTACCAATAGACCCCTGGCTGTCTTCAAGAAAGCACTGGACAGGCACCTAAAGTCAGTACCTGACCAGCCAGGCTGTGGTTCGTACTTCAGTTTGCATGTGGTCAGCAGTAACAGCCTGGATGATCAGACCCTGATCTACCATGAGGCCTGGTCTCAGACTGAGCAGCAGGGGCATTGACCCCTGAAACCCTCTCCAGGGATACTGACCTCACAAGAAGTTATTGGATAGCCCATTTTAGTGTCATCCACAAATTTACTTAAGTTGCTATTTATTCCATCATCTTTGTCATTTATGCAGATTGTAAACAACAGTGGTCCCAATTCTGACACCTGCAACAGACCACATGTAATGGGTTCCCATTCTGGATTCTCCATTTATGCAAATTCTGTTGCTTGTGTCCGCTATGCCTCAACCCTGGAGAGCATTTTTCTCTCCATTTTCCCAGGTGCTGGTATGACCCCTATTGGCTTTGTGCTCCCCCTCCCCAGTGGATATAAGAATAAATCCTCCTGTTCCATGTGTTGCTATTTTCTTCACCAGTCTCCTCTGTGGAACTTATAAAAGGCCTTTATGAAGCCCATATACACAATATCATATTTTTTATCTTTGGTTATTGCCTCAAATACCTTCAATTCAATTCACTTCAAGTTTATTCTCTTTAATGGTTACAATGTGGGGTTTACAGGTTTTGGGTATTTTGTGGTTTACATGTTATAAAATACTAATTACAGAGGGGGCCGCTAGGACACCTAGCATGGCTAGGCATTTCGAGCAGACTTAGATTAATTCTTAACATTAAGTCCTTACCTTGGTGAAAAAAGTTGGTAAATTGGTAAGGGAGCAAGAATGCCCCTTTGCAGAACTGTGCTAATTATGTGTCTGAAGGTGATTTTGAATTGCATTTATTGTTTTTAGCAACTTTTCCACAGTTTGAGGTGAAGCTGATTGATCTATAATTTGGAGCTAAGGATGTATCTCCCACTTTGTAATGAGTATTGCATTTGTAATTTTCCACTTAACTGGTACAATACCCATCTGTAGTGATCTGTTGAAGAGTCTAACTAATGTTTAGCTAAGCTCCTCTTTACATTCCTTTATAGCCCTTAAAAATAATTCACGACTTTGATCTTGCATAATTCATCCTCTAAATATTATTTAATTATAGATCTCCAGGATTTCATTTGTGTCCTCTTGTTTAAAAACAGAGGGAATAAGTATTAAAAAGGTACACATTTCTCAGTCTCTTAGTCAGTAAGGTGACCCTTCCTTCTTGATTTTTCTGTAAATGCCTATGTCCCCCCTCCCCACAAAAATAAAAGATAATTTTACTGTGTTCATGTAATTACTATATTATGAATATATGTGGTTTGGGTATCTTGTACAATACTTTGTAAAAAAATCATATTGACATTGGCATTGTGCTTCCATATGTTTTGCTATAGTTTTTAAAAGTATAGTGTCTTTTTTATTATCTTTATTGCTGTGGTTCTTTGAGAAAGGTCACCCATTGTATTAGGTGTCCATGTGAAAGGATGTTGCAATTTTTTGTATATTGAAATACAGTTAATCATTACTGTAGTGATAGCTGTGTAGTTTGGCATTATATTAATTTTCTGTATTTTTTTACCTCAACATTATAATTTTGAATCATAATTGTAAATTTTTACTTACATTTCATAAGTTAAAATTATTTACAATGATTTTAAGGGCAAGTAGATGTTATATATGCACACAGTATATCAAGTAGATTTTACACAGGATAAGACTACACTTTCCATACAATCTTCATCTTGTATACATAAGGGATTAACTTTATCTTAGCTAGCCTCAATAGTATATTATTTCCTATATTATTACTGTTAATACAATTCGTGATTTTAAATTTTTATGTGGGCTTTGCAAAACCCCATTTATTGTAAATTTCACACATTTTTGCCTATCAGTATTAAAAATAATAATTTAAGCTTGTTATATGTTTACATATTCTAATGTGTTTAACATATTTTGCAGGTCTGATTGTCAAAAACAAGTTAAAGGGTATCACTATGCTCGGTACAAAAAATTTGCAACCCTAAAAGAAGCAAAAGAATTCCAAGAACTTGGTTATCCTAAGAGCAAAGTTATAGACAGACGTGAAAAATTAGCACAAGAGATCAAGACAAACAGTGTTATAGAAATTCCAGATAATGTCACTGAAGATGTTACCATTATATATGAATGTAAGGGTATTTCTTGTTTTGTATTGCATTTTTCACCTGAATTGTATTTTATATTTTCATTTGTATTACATTTTTCATATGCATTGTATTGCATTTTATCTGTATGTGTATCATGCTGAATTTTCATCCTATGTCGTATTGCCTTTTTTATTTACTGTAGACTTTTTATCTACTGAAGACTTTTTATCTACTGTAGACTTTTTGGTCTGTCCTGGAGGTATATTTATTGCATATTTTGTATGTAGAATAGAAATCACTAAGATAACTACAAAACTAGTAGATATATGTATAAGTGAATGATGGGTATAAACAAAGGTGATATTAGTAAATTACTGAGGGTGTCGAACAAGGTAAGAACCAGAAGTAATGGATATAAGTTGGATCAATTTAGATTTAGAAAGGATATAGGTACATACTGGTTTTCGAACAGAGTTGTGGATGTGTGGAAAAATCTCCCGAGTAGGGTGATCAAGGATAGAACCTTGGGTAGATTTAAAAAGAGATTGGACAAATATATGAGTGGGAGGGGCTGGGTTTGACTGGGGTCATTGGGTATGGGAGGATATTCTTGATTAGCTTTGGGTAGGGGTTGTTTTAATAAGGACTTGCCTTGTATGGGCCAGTAGACCTTCTGCAGTGTTCCTCCATTCTTATGTTCTTATATACAGTTCAAAGAACCACCACTGAAAAGTAAGTGTGAAATAAGTGCTATGTAACTCAATAACCATAAAGAGCCCAAGACATACATAAGGTGGATGCTTGGTTACCTACCCTGGGTAATCTGTTATTTTAAACAAAAATGTATGGTTTTCATCATAATCAGATAAACACATTATGAATAATTTAATACCAGTGTCACCTTAAAAATTTAGTTTTGTCATTGAAATTAGTAAAGCTAAAGTATAGAAATGTTATCTTGTAACACACTTATTTTTACAAAATGACGTCCAATAATAGTTTTTTCCTGTAATACATAATACGTGTATATTTTAGTTATCTAATTTGTATCCTAGTTTTACTTCCACTTAATGTACTACTTATATTTTTTATTATGTACTATTTCTTTTTAATATACTGTATTATATATAATGACAAAACTTGTGTACTTTGTGCTGATTTTTCTAATATCAGCCATACATGCAAAACACTTATTTTCACAGGCATTAATGTTGATGGAAGGTCAAGTCCAACTCCTCAGGAGATGAAGAATGATTTGAATAAACTGCAGAAAGATACATCAAAACTAAGGTCAAGATTTGACAGTTATTTAGCTCGAAAACCTGGTACTGACACCATGTTAGGAACACAATGCCCACCTGAAACTTCTTTTGCAGCTAACAGTGGGAAGCGAAAGCATGACAATTCAATTCAAGAATCTGATGAAAAGACTGTCAAAAAGATGAACACGGGTGATTGTAGTGGATATCATAAAACTAAATTTTCCTTTGACAGCAATGGATTTCTCGTTGTTTATACTGATGGTGCATGTAATAAAAATGGAAGGAAAGGTGCCACAGCTGGCATTGGAGTGTATTTTGGACCAAACCATCCTCTGTAAGTATGACTTAGCTTGCTGTATGTTTTTGGGAAAACCTAACTAAGTCAAAGTTTATTCTGAGCAGAGTTGAAAAGTATACAACTTACTAAATAACTGAATTAGTCATTGACTTATGCATTCTTTTAGATGAGCAGATATTAATTTGAGAGTTTTATACTCTGATGCAAAGAACAGCAAGAAATTTATGGTCATTATTAAATAATGTAACTTGTAAAAGTTAATGTCTACTTCTCTCCAGCCAGTGTCTGTTCAAAGTAAAATAGATACAGTATTATACAGTACCATATTTAATTTTTAATTTCAGCAATAACCAGCATCAGATAATGGGGTAAATCATGAATGAAGTAACTACCAAATTTCAAGTATCAGAAATTTATGATGTTGGTTAATAATTTTCATTGTTGGCACAGTTTTTTTTTTTTTTTGGTTGATAATAATGTATAGCTTTACATTGCCACTCAAAAAGTTTAGTATCATGTAGGCAGTTGTATACAGGAGAAAATCAGAAATCAACATTTGACACTCTACCTATTTCCACTGTATTTAATATTCCTTTTTGATATTGATATAAAAGAAAATGAAAAGGATCTCAAAAGCAAGGGAACAAAGGAAATCTTATCTAGGGAGGACTGGAGAAGTTGGAAATGGTGGACAGTGGGACACTACTATTAAGGATTAACCTAGACTAGAGGCTGCTACTGAAGGGACTTGGGAAGAACACAGGTGATGAGAGTGAAAAATAGCTGGAAATAGTGCCCGCTCCTAGCATCTTACAGAGCAAGATCTCCAGAAAATTGTCAGCATTAATGGAAGGTAACTGGAATTAATAGATATCCATGGAGGCAGCAGAAGCTCTAGATAAGCAGTTACTATGTACACATTACTAATGGTCACAATATCCACAAAAGAAAAGAACAATACAAGATGAGATAGAGGGTGTTTCACACAATTGTACAGGCATATACAGTATGCCTTCATCCACCATAATCCTTCTATTCAATAATTGTTAAGCTCGTAAGGGTCATTTTGCGCTGTGCTCATACACTAGTGGGCTAGTACAGATCCATGTTTAAAGTTACATCTAATTAAAGTTTATGCATCATAATATAATGCTTTTTGGCATTCATAAATCTTAGCTTTATTATTATTTTTTTTTTATTACCACACTGGCCGATTCCCACCAAGGCAGGGTGGCCCGAAAAAGAAAAACTTTCACCATCATTCACTCCATCACTGTCTTGTCAGAAGGGTGCTTTACACTACAGTTTTTAAACTGCAACATTAACACCCCTCCTTCAGAGTGCAGGTACTGTACTTCCCATCTCCAGGACTCAAGTCCGGCCTGCCGGTTTCCCTGAACCCCTTCATGAATGTTACTTTGCTCACACTCCAACAGCACGTCAAGTATTAAAAACCATTTGTTTCCATTCACTCCTATCAAACACGCTCATGCATGCCTGCTGGAAGTCCAAGCCCCTTGCACACAAAACCTCCTTTACCCCCTCCCTCCAACCTTTCCTAGGCCGACCCCTACCCCGCCTTCCTTCCACTACAGACTGATACACTCTTGAAGTCACACTGTTTCGCTCCATTCTCTCTACATGTCCGAACCACCTCAACAACCCTTCCTCAGCCCTCTGGACAACAGTTTTGGTAATCCCGCACCTCCTCCTAACTTCCAAACTACGAATTCTCTGCATTATATTCACACCACACATTGCCCTCAGACATGACATCTCCACTGCCTCCAGCCTTCTCCTCGCTGCAACATTCATCACCCATGCTGATCAGGCATATGGTCACTGTCTTGAACACTATGTGCTTAATTGTCCACTTATTGAAGAACACAGAGACAGACAGTATAATAACCTATGTGACATGTCAAGATATCTTATTAATGAAAATAAGACACCAGATATACTAAGCAAATTTCCTAAATTTGCTTGTAACAGATAAGTGAACTATAGATATGTAGATATAAATCCATATGTATTCCTGTTAACCCTTTGGGGCCTAGTTTCTAGGCCTTTTGTGTATCCATATGCTCTCGCGCTACCGTCCACAGGATGGATATGGGGTGCACAATAAACTAGCCACTTCGGTGGCAAAATCTAAAAAATCTAATCCATGCTTCACACTCGTATAAGAGCGTTGGTAAAACTATACTCGCATACATTCCCCTCTTTGCCTCCAAGGACAAAGTTCTTTGTCTCCACAGACTCCTAAGTGCACCACTCACCCTTTTCCCCTCATCAATTCTATGATTCACCTCATCTTTCATAGACCCATCCGCTGACACGTCAACTCCCAAATATCTGAATACATTCACCTCCTCCATACTCTCTCCCTCCAATCTGATATCCAATCTTTCATCACCTAATATTTTTGTTATCCTCATAACCTTACTCTTTCCTGTATTCACTTTTAATTTTCTTCTTTTGCACACCCTACCAAATTCATCCACCAATCTCTGCAACTTCTCTTCAGAATCTCCCAAGAGCACAGTGTCATCAGCAAAGAGCAACTGTGGCAACATATATTAAACAACCACGGTGACATCACACATCCTTGTCTAAGGCCTACTTTTACTGGGAAATAATTTCCCTCTTTCCTACATACTCTAACTTGAGCCTCACTATCCTCGTAAAAACTCTTCACTGCTTTCAGTAACCTACCTCCTACACCATACACCTGCAACATCTGCCACATTGCCCCCCTATCCACCCTGTCATACACCTTTTCCAAATCCATAAATGCCACAAAGACCAGGTGTTTCACTGTAAACACCTGGTCCACACACCCCCTACCTTTCCTAAAGCCTCCTTGTTCATCTGCTATCCTATTCTCCATCTTACTCTTAATTCTTTCAATAATAACTCTACCATACACTTTACCAGGTATACTCAACAGACTTATCCCCCTATAATTTTTGCACTCTCTTTTATCCCCTTTGCCTTGATACAAAGGAACTATGCATGCTCTCTGCCAATCCCTAGGTACCTTACCCTCTTCCATGCATTTATTAAATAATTGCACCAACCACTCCAAAACTATATCCCCACCTGCTTTTAACATTTCTATCTTTATCCCATCAATCCCGGCTGCCTTACCCCCTTTCATTTTACCTACTGCCTCACGAACTTCCCCCACACTCACAACTGGCTCTTCCTCACTCCTACAAGATGTTATTCCTCCTTGCCCTATACACGAAATCACAGCTTCCCTATCTTCATCAACATTTAACAATTCCTCAAAATATTCCTCCATCTTCCCAATACCTCTAACTCTCCATTTAATAACTCTCCTCTCATATTTTTAACTGACAAGTCCATTTGTTCTCTAGGCTTCCTTAACTTGTTAATCTCACTCCAAAACTTTTTCTTATTTTCAACAAAATTTGTTGATAACATCTCACCCACTCTCTCATTTGCTTTATATGTATATTTTTGTAAAAATGGAGTGAGAATGTACAGTATTATCATCATATCATTAATTACTTGTGCTTTGATACACTTCATCTCTCAACTCTGGCTGTCTTTCTATATATTTTCCTGTCTGACTGTAGTTAGTTTCAATGAATGTATAACATAGATTTTTATAACTAAATTATATGATTTTATTATATCATTATATCAATCATTTCTTTCTTTCTTTCTTTCAATTCACCAGTTGTATCCCACCAAAGCAGGGTGGCCCAAAAAGAAAAATGATAGTTTCTCTTCATAAATTTAGTCAAGAAGAAAAACTTTATAAAACGGGTTGTTTTAAATGTGCTGGATTAGTGCGGATGACAGAAACAATGTTGTGAGTTTGAATAAAAAAAAAGTTGGATGTCCTGGCCCTAAGCGAAACAAAGTAAAGGGGGTGGGGAGAGTTTCAGTGGGGGGAAATAAATGGGATTAAATTGGAGTATCTGAGAGAGTTAAGCAAAAGGGAAGGGGTAGCTAATTTTTAAATGATCAGTTATGGAAGGAGAAAAAAAATATGAATGTTAATTCAAGAATTATGTGGTTTAAAAAGAAAAGGGTTTGGGATGCGAGAAGTGGTCAAAATAACGTGTTGCACTGGAGAAGAGGAATCAGAGGAGAGAGAATTTTGGGGAGATGTTAAGTGAATGTTAGGAGCCTTTAAACCCAAAGTAAGAGTAATTGGGTGGGGGACTTGAATGCAAAGTAGGAGAAACTTTTAGGGGGGGTGTGGTAGGAAAGTTTGGGGTTGCCTGTAAATGAAAAAGGGAGCCCTTTGATTGAATTTTGTATAAAAAGGGGTTTATTTATAGGTAATACATATTTTTAAGAAAAAGAGGATAAATAAGTATACACGATATGTGGGGGCGAAATACGTAGTTTGTTGGATTTGTTTGGGTAGAAAAAAAGCTTTTGAAGACTTGGGAGTCTGTTTATAGAGGGGCCAAGATATACAGATCACTTTCTAGTTGTCTAATGGGTAAAAGGTAGGGGGTAAAAGGAGAATAGAAGCATCGGGGAAAAAGAGGGGTGAAGGTTTATAAATAAAAGAGGAGGCATTTTAGGGTAAGATATAAAAGCTTTTGGGAGGATGATGGCTAATGGGGATAGGCAAGGGGGCGAAGAGGTATGGGGTAGGTTTAAAAAATGTAGGTTAGGTGTTCAGCAGAAGTTTTGTGGTACGGGAAAGTGGGGCGGGGGGGAAGGGAGCGATTGGTGGAAATGATGATGAAAGAGAGTAGAAAGGGGAAAAAAATTTGCATATGAGAAGTTTTTACAAAGTAAATGTTCAAGGGGGAAGAGTATATGGAGGGAAAAAAAGAGAAGTAAGAGAGTGGGTGAAGCAATGTAAAAGAGAGCAAATGGGAGGGGTAGATGTTTTCAAAAATTTTGTTGAAAATAAAAAAAGTTTTGGAGTGAGATTAAAAGTTAAGAAAGCCTAGAGAACAAATGGATTTTTCAGTTAAAAATAGGAAGGAGAGTTTTAAAAGGGGGGTTTGAGGTTTGGGAAAATGGAGGGAAAATTTTGAGGAATTGTTAAATTTTGATGAAGTAGGGGAAATGGATTTGTGTATAGGGCAAGGAGGTAACATCTTGTAGGAGTGAGGAAAAAGCCAGTTGGAGTGTGGGGGAAGTTGTGAGGCGTAGGTAAAAAGAAAGGGGGGTTTGGCAGCCGGGATTGATGGGATAAAGATGAAATGTTAAAAGCGGTGGGGAATAGTTTTGGGTGGTTTGGGGCAATATTTTAAAAAAAGTAGGGAAAGGGGAAGGTACCTAGGGATTTGGAGAGAGCATGCAATTTTTGTATAAAGGCAAAGGGGGTAAAAGAGAGTGCAAAAAAAATAGGGGGGAAAATCTGTTGAGTGTACCCGGTAAAATGTAGGTAGAGTTTAATTGAAAAAAAATTAAAAGTAAGACGGAGAATAGGATAGCAGATGAACAAGGAGGCTTTAGGAAAAGGGAGGGGATGTTGGACCCGGGGTTTTCAGTGAAACATAAGTGAACATTTTAGATAAGGTAAAGAGGTCTTTGTGGCATTTATGGATTTTGGAAAAGGATATGACAGGGGGATAGGGGGCAAAAGTGGGAGATGTTGCAAATGTTGGGGTGGGGGTGGTTATGAAAGCAGTGAAGAGTTTTTACGAGGATAGTAGGCCAAGTTAGAGTATGTAGGGAAAAAGGGGAAAATTTTTTTTCCCGTAAAGAGGCCTTAACAAGGGTGGTGATGCACCCTGGGTTTTTTAAATTTTTTTATAGATGGGGTTGTAAGGAAGAAAAAGCAGGGCTTGGCAAAAAAGGCGGGAGTTAAAAGTAAAAAATCACACACAAAGTGGGAGTTGTCACAGCTGCTCTTTGCTGATGACACGTGCCTTGGAGATTCTGAAGAGAAGTTGAAAAGATTGGGGGATGAATTTGGTAGGGTGTGCAAAAGAAAAAATTAAAGGTAATCGGAAAGAGAGGTTTTGAGGAAACAAAAAAATTGGTGTGAAAGATTGAATTCAGATTGGGGGGGAAGAGTTGGAGGGGTGAACGTATTCAGATATTTGGGAGGGACGGTCAGCGGATGGGTCTATGAAAGATGAGGTGAATCATAGAATTGAAGAGGGAAAAGAGTGGTGTGCACTTGGTCGTGGAGACAAAAAACTTTGTCCTTGGAGGCAAAGAGGGGAAAGTATGAGAGTTAGTTTTACCAAAGCTCTTATAGGGTGTGAAACGTGGGGGGATGAATGTTGCAGCGAGGAGAAGGCTGGAGGCAGGGAGATGTCATTCTGAGGGCAATGTGTGGTGTGAATTAATGCAGAGAAATTTGGTTTGGAAGTTAGGAGGAGGTGGGGTTACCAAAATGTTGTCCAGAGGGCTGAGGAAAGGGGTTTTGAGGTGGTTCGGACATGTAGAGGATGGAGCGAAACAAAGACTTCAAAGTGTATCGTCTTGGGGGAAGGAAGGCGGGGTAGGGGTCGGCCTAGGGGAAAGGGGTTTGGGGGGAGGGGGTAAAGGAGGGTCTTTTTCCCAAAACCCCATCTATAAATTTTTTAAACAACCAGGTGACATCACACATCCTTGTCAAAGGGCCTACTTTACGGGGGAAATAATTTCCCTCTTTCCTACAACTCAACTGAGCCTCACTACCTCGTAAAAACTCTTCACTGCTTTCAGTAACCTACCTCCTACACCATACACCTGCAACATCTGCCACATTGCCCCCCTATCCACCCTGTCATACGCCTTTTCCAAATCCATAAATGCCACAAAGACCTCTTAGCCTTATCTAAATACTGTTCACTTATATGTTTCACTGTAAACACCTGGTCCACACACCCCCTACCTTTCCTAAAGCCTCCTTGTTCATCTGCTATCCTATTCTCCGTCTTACTCTTAATTCTTTCAATAATAACTCTACCATACACTTTACCAGGTATACTCAACAGACTTATCCCCCTATAATTTTTGCACTCTCTTTTGTCCCCTTTGCCTTTATACAAAGGAACTATGCATGCTCTCTGCCAATCCCTAGGTACCTTACCCTCTTCCATGCATTTATTAAATAATTGCACCAACCACTCCAAAACTATATCCCCACCTGCTTTTAACATTTCTATCTTTATCCCATTAATCCCGCTGCCTTACTCCCTTTCATTTTACCTACTGCCTCACGAACTTCCCCCACACTCACAACTGGCTCTTCCTCACTCCTTCAAGATGTTATTCCTCCTTGCCCTATACACGAAATCACAGCTTCCCTATCTTCATCAACATTTAACAATTCCTCAAAATATTCCCTCCATCTTCCCAATACCTCTAACTCTCCATTTAATAACTCTCCTCTCATAATTTTAACTGACAAATCCATTTGTTCTCTAGGCTTCCTTAACTTGTTAATCTCACTCCAAAACTTTTTCTTATTTTCAACAAAATTTGTTGATAACATCTCACCCACTCTCTCATTTGCTTTATATGTATATTTTTGTAAAAATGGAGTTAGAATGTACAGTATTATCATCATGTCATTAATTACTTGTGCTTTGATACACTTCATCTCTCAACTCTGGCTGTCTTTCTATATATTTTCCTGTCTGACTGTAGTTAGTTTCAATGAATGTATAACATAGATTTTTATAACTAAATTATATGATTTTATTATATCAATCATTTCTTTCTTTCTTTCTTTCAATTCACCAGTTATATCCCACCAAAGCAGGGTGGCCCAAAAAGAAAAATGATAGTTTCTCTTCATAAATTTAGTCATGTATACTGGAGAAGGGGTTACTAGCCCCTTGCTCCCAGTATTTTAGTCACCTCTTATGACATGCATGGCTTACAGAGGAAGAATTCTGTTCCACTTCCACATGGAGATAAGAGGAAATAAATAAGAGCAAGAACTAGAACTAGTAAGAAAAGAAGAAAACCCAGAGGAGTGTGTGTATAAATATACATGTATATGCTTGTACATGCATGTGTAGTGTGACCTAAGTGTAAGTAGAAGTAGCAAGATGTACCTGAAATCTTGCATGTTTATGAGACAGAAAAAAGACACCAGCAATCCTACCATCCTGTAAAACAAATTACAGGCTTCTGTTTTAAACTCACTTGGCAGGATGGAAGTACCTCCCTGGGCAATTGCTGTCTGCCAACCTACTACCTAGGATCAATCATTTCATTCTGCTTAAATTTATTTCAGTAATGTGAGTAAGCCGGTGAGGGGAAGAGCTACAAATAACACGGCAGAAATTCAGGCTGCTACATGTGCTTTAGAGTTGTCAAAAACTTTAGGTAAGACTAAATGCAGTATATTGTATTTCTAAAACTACATTGCTGGTAACATTTCCCCATGAGAGCATTTTTTCCTCTCATCATTTAGCATTTTCCTCTCAAACCATAAGCTGAATTGTTTACTAGTCAACAAGTTATTCCTCCCTAAGTATTTTATCACTTTTCCCTAGTGTTTTTCCAGTATTTTTGCAACTGCACCTGCAAACAAAACTGGCTTATTAATATTTTTGTTATGTATTATTAGTGTATTATATTCACATACAGCAGGCATGTGTGGTTTTTGGGATTTGATGAACTGTTGGAGTGTGACCAGGGTGATATTTTGTGAAGTGATTCAGGGAAACCAGTTAACCAGACTTGAGTCCTGGAGGTTGGAAGTACAGTGTCTATATTCTCAAGGACAGTGATAGTGACAGTGTGAATGGTGGTCAAAGTGATTCTTTTTCGAGTCATCTTACCTTGGTGGGAGATGGCCAGCGTGTTTAAAAAAAATCACAGAAAGTGCTAAGCCCATGTGGGTCATTCAACATTGCACTATGAGAGTGACTAACTTTAAAATAGCTCTTAGTATAGTATTCAAATTTACAGGGTTCAAAAAAGTGGCAGTACACACAGACTCTCTCTTCATGATTGACTGTATGACTTCCTGGCTGAAGAACTGGAAGAAAAACAACTGGGTGAAGAAGAATGGAGACCCAGTGAAGAATAAGAATGATCTCATTGTTTTAGATGCAGCCAGTGAAGGATTAGCTGTAAAATGGGTAGGTATTAACATGGTTGGACTTCTACAGCACTCAAAATCCACAGCATGTTTAAATTTGGGTATAGTAGTTTATTTGTGTGCCATTTAGTAAGTAAATGCATGTCTGATATACATTACAGTAAACCCTCCATAAAATGGACTAATAGAAAAGAGCAAGTGGCTGGTAATGGCATTTGCAGTGGATAAAGAAGAGATTGTTTTGCTGTGATTATAACAATGATGGATAAATCTGTAACCATCAATCTTCGTCTAACTTAAACCAGTTCTGTCTTAAACCAGTTCTAACTTAAACCAGTTCTGTTCTGTCTGGTAAATACAGGACTTTCTAAAATATCTTCTTTAGTCACAGTTAACAAACTCACACTCAGTATTAACAAGACCTATATAATGCTTGGGAACAAAGCAAAAGACATTCATTTAAACTTAAAGATAAACAATACACCAATTGATAGGCAGGATAAGAGTAAATTCTTGGGAATACACCTGGACAGCAAATTGAATTTCAACACATCCAGAACAAAAGTATGCTCTTATTTTCCCCCAAACGTCCCTGCTCGCCCTTTACTGTTCTTTAATCTAGCCATACCTTACCCGTGGTATTAGTGCATGAGGTCAGCCATACCTAATCACCTTAAACCTGTTGTTAGTCAGCAAAAATTAGCTCTCAGAATTATTACTCATTCAGGCTATAGGCAACACACCCCGTTGTTCAAGAGTTTAAATTTGCCTAATGTGCACAATAGTTCCATTACTGAGTTTTTTATGTCAACAGAGTATTCAGTACAAACATTAACCCAGACCTTAAACTCTGTCTGGAGAGCTGCAACAAAACACATGGACACAATATAAGGAACAAGTATCTCTGACATTCCACATATACAGCTCAACCTATTCAAAAGCTCCCAAAAATTTTGTGCTCATTGCCTAAAAAAGCCAAAGTTCACTATCTCTCAACATTAAAAAAATAAAGAGTAAAGATTTTATTTCTTTATAAAGGTTACAGTGTGTAATTACAATTTTGGGCTGCTAAGTACAAAGAAAGCCACTATCATGCCACTATTAAATCTGTTAAATTTCACATTGACTGTAAATTTCATAATTTGACTTCAACCACTTCATAACATACAGGTCATTGAACTGATGTACACATAATTTCAATGTAATTTATTTGTAATTACCAGTTGAGTGTTGCACTGAGGAGTCTGTGGAGTCAAAGAATGTTATCCATGGAAGCAAAGAGGGAAAAGTATGAGAGTATAGTGATACTAATGCTCTTATGTGGGTGTGAAGCATGAATTTTAAAAGTTGCAGTGAGGAAGAGGCTGGAGATATCATGTATGAGGGCAGTGTGTAGTGTGAACATTATGCTGAGAATCTGTAGCTTGGAAATTAGGAGATGCAGGGTTTCTAAAAGTATTATCCAGAAAGCAGAAGAGGGGTTGTTGAGGTGGTTTGAACATTTAGAAAGCATGGAATGGAATAGAAGGACTTGGAGGGTGTATAAATCTGCAGTGGAAGGAAGGCAGGGTAAGGGTCTTCCTAGGAATGGTTGGAGGGAGGGGGTAAAGAAGGTTTGTGTGTGAGGGGCTTAGACTTCCACCAAGCATGTGCATGGTTTTTATGACAGATGTGCTGTTGGAGTGTTAGCAAAGTACCATTTATTACCTGGAGAGAGTTCCGGGGGTCAACGCCCCCGCGGCCTGGTCTGTGACCAGGCCTCCTGGTGGATCAGAGCCTGATCAGCCAGGCTGTTACTGCTGGCTGCACGCAAACCAACGTACGAGCCACAGCCCGGCTGGTCAGGAACCGACTTTAGGTGCTTGTCCAGTGCCAGCTTGAAGACTGCCAGGGGTCTGTTGGTAATCCCCCTTATGTATGCTAGGAGGCAGTTGAACAGTCTCGGGCCCCTGACACTTATTGTATGGTCTCTTAACGTGCTAGTGACACCCCTGCTTTTCATTGAGGGGATGTTGCATCGTCTGCCAAGTCTTTTGCTTTCGTAGTGAGTGATTTTCGTGTGCAAGTTCGGTACTAGTCCCTCTAGATTCAGGGAAATTTGTTAGCTGGACTTGAGTCCTGGAGGTGGGAAGTACAGTGCCTGTCCTCTGAAGGAAGGGTGGAGGTATGTTGCAGTTTTTTAACTGTAGTGTAGGCATTCCTCTGGTAAGACAGTGATAGAGTGTGATGATGAAAGTGTTTCTTCTTTTTCGGGTCACCACGCCTGGGTGGGAAACAGCTGTGTTAATAAAAAATAAAAAAAAAATACTAATTCTTCATTTGCAACCTGTCTCATTGTACTTATGATTATATTGAATTACCCAAACTGTTCATGAAAGTGCTAAACTCATTAGGGTGAGTCAGATAATACAGAGTAGAATGAGGTAGACTAACACATTCTTTACAATGCAGCTTTTGTAATTGTTTTTCAGGTGCATGTGAAAGGCCATGCTGGCCACAAAGGTAACGAAATGGCTGACAGATTGGCAAAGCGGGGTACCCGTCTGTACAAAGCTTAACCTTGACTTCATACACTTCCATTTTTAATTACAGATTACAAATGATTGAAAGTTCAAACTACAGCACCTTCCAGGACATGTATATCTGGTATCATATTTCCTTCTTTTATGCATTGTTTTCCACTAAGAAAGAAGGCTCAGACAGTAAATAGATTCTTCATCAGTCGGTTCCCAGAAGAGCAGACTTCACAATATATAATTAATAAATAAAGCCTTTTGTATGCAGAATGTTTGAATGGTTGAGGTCAGTTTAATGTGACTATAATTATTATACATTTTCATTTATTCCACCACTTGATAAGCTGATTTATATTTTCTTTTGTTATTTTCCCTGTTAAGCATAGGAGAGACTCCTTAGAGAATTAAGTTGAGGTTGATTAATATTTTGTTTTCAATGAATGAAATTAAGGAAATTTGCTTTCAACATTTTCACTTGATACATTTTTTCATGTTCTTCCTTTGTGAACGATAGGATATTAATTATATTCTGTTGTCTGACAAGATGGCAGTAGCAGTTTGGAATGCTGTCACAATAAAATTAACCCTGCACTGAAATTTATTTATTTACGTATTTGTTTATATGAAGCACTAAACCCATTCAGTACAAGGGTACTGATTATCAGACAAATGTTTCCTAACTGTTCTTCACTGAGAACATTGGTTCATTAACCAATTTATTATTTTCAAGGGGAAGTGCTAAACCCATAAGGGTCATACAGTGTTTGGGGAATAGGAGGGACTTAGGTTCAGTCCAGGGAAAAGGAGAGCAGATCCATTTCCCTGGATCAAGAGCCATTCATCAACAGCATACCTTCTTAAAGGATGATCATCATATAAGGATAAAATTTATGTACAGTGGCACCTCGGGATACTAATTTCTTTCGTTCCAGAAGGATGTTTGAGTGCCGATACCGAACGATTTTGTTCCCACAAGGAATAACATAAATCAGATTAATTCATTTCAGACCCCCAAAAATACACTTACAAAAGCACTTACATAAATACACTTACATAATTGTTCGAGTTTTGAGCTGTTTCTTTCCTGAGGTACCACTGTACAGTATTTTCTTTCAACAACAAACTGGCCGTATCCCACCAAAGCAGGGGGGTCAAAAAAAAAGAAAAAAAAATCTCTTTTTAACTTCAGTAATGTATACAAAAGGGGTTACTAGCCCCTTGCACCTGGCATATTAGTCACCTCTTATGACACATGGCTTACAGAGGTAGAATTCTGTTCCACTTTCCCCGTGGAGATAAGAGGAAATAAACGAACATGAACTAGTAAGAAAATAGAAGAAAACCCAGAGGGGGTGTGTATATATGTATATATATGCTTGTACATGCATGTGTAGTGTGACCTAAGTGTAAGTAGAAGTAGTAAGATGTAGCTGAAATCTTGCATGTTTATGAGAGAGAAAAAAGAAATCTGCAGTCCTACCATCATGTAAAACAATTACAGGCATTCATTTCACACTCACTTGGCAGGATGGTAGTACCTCCCTGAGCGGTTGCTGTCTACCATCCTACTGCCTAGGAAAATTTATATATATATTTTTTATAACGCATCGGCCGTTTCCCACCGAGGAAGGGTGACCCAAAAAGAAAGAAAAAAAGCAAAAAGAAAGAAAATACTTCACCATCACTCATACATAATCACTGTCTTTGCAGAGGCACTCAGATATGACAGTTTAGAAGTACCTCCAAACTGCCAATATCCTAAACCCCTTCTTTAAAGTGCAGGCACTTTAAAGAAGGGGTTTGGGAACTGGTTAGCCAGGACTCAAGTCTGGCTAACCAGTTTCCCTGAATCCCTTAACAAAATATTACCCTGCTCACAATCCAACAGCTCGTCAGGTCCCAAAAACCATTTGTCTCCATTCATTTCTATCTAATACGCACACACACTGGAAGTCCAAGCCCCTTGCCCACAAAACCTCCTTTACCCCCTCCCTCCAACCTTTTTGAGGATGACCCTTACCCCGCCTTCCTTCCCTTACAGATTTATGTGCTCTACAAGTCATTCTACTTTGTTCCATTCTCTCTAAATGACCAAACCACCTCAACAACCCCTCTTCAGCCCTAAGACTAATACTTTTAGTAACAATACACCTCCTCCTAACTTCCACACTTTGAATTCTCTGCATAATATTTACACAACACATTGCCCTTAGACAGGACATCTCCACTGTCTCCAGCTGCATCCTCACTGCAGCATTTACAACCCAAGCTTCACACCCATATAAGAGTGTTGGTACCACTATACTTTCATACCTTTCCTTCTTTGCCTCCATGGATAACATCTTTTGTCTTCAAAGATACCTCAGTGCACCACTCACCTTTTTTCCTTCACCAGTTCTATGGTTAACCTCATCCTTCATAAACCCATCTGCTGACAAATCAACTCCCAAATATCTGAAAACATTTACTTCTTCCACGGACGGTCCTTCTCTCCAATGTGATATCCAATTTTTCTTTATCTAAATCGTTTAATACCCTCATCACCTTACTCTTATCTATGTTCACTTTCAACTTTCTACCTTTACATATCCTCCCAAACTCGTCCACTAACCTTTGCCACTTTTCTTTAGAATCTCCCGGAAGCACAGTATCATCAGCAAAAAGTAACTGTCAACTCCCATTTTGTATTTTGATTCCCCATAATTTAATCCCACCCCTCTCCCCAACACCCTAGTATTTACTTTTACAACCCTGTAAATTGAAAAGTAAGGCAACACCCAAAAAATTGTAATAGAAGGTTTAAATAAGGATAACCCAACACATTAAAAGTGTAACTTATTTCACTATCAACTGCAGTCTGGATTCTTGATGGTGTGTGTCATCATCTTTCTTTAGTAACCAGGTTCTGAGAGAATTTATTTACAATGCTGACTTGACATACTTAAAAATTTATTCTTAAGGTGTGCTGCTAGTCCACAAGAAGTGTCTTTCATTATGTGGGCAGCATTGCTTACAAGAGAGGGCATGAACTAGCACCAGAATTCTCCATCCATTGGAGCAACTATTTTCTGAACAAGCAACCATAGCAGAGGAGAGAAACAAGAACCTGGTGAATATCAGGAAGTACATTTCTCTTCAGTCTCAAGGTGGTTGAGAAGTGGAATGATCTTAGTCAAGACGTCACAGAGGGAGGCTATACATGTATATATATTTTTAAGAACAGGTTAAGCTAAGGATGAAAAGTATTTTAAGGCAAGTAAAGGTTGGAGAGAGGGGGTAAAGGAGGTTTTGTGTGCGAGGGGCTTGGACTTCCAGCAGGTATGCATGAGCGTGTTTGATAGGAGTGAATGGAGACAAATGGTTTTTAATACTTGACGTGCTGTTGGAGTGTGAGCAAAGTAACATTTATGAAGGGGTTCAGGGAAACCGGCAGGCCGGACTTGAGTCCTGGAGATGGGAAGTACAGTGCCTGCACTCTGAAGGAGGGGTGTTAATGTTGCAGTTTAAAAACTGTAGTGTAAAGCACCCTTCTGGCAAGACAGTGATGGAGTGAATGATGGTGAAAGTTTTTCTTTTTCGGGCCACCCTGCCTTGGTGGGAATCGGCCAGTGTGATAATAAAAATATAAATAAAATAATGTGTACTGTATGCGTTTTTAAGGCCCAGCTCTATTGGACACTTAATATAGTGTAAACATGTTATGCTTTTATATGGATTTGAAAGTGAAAAAGGCTATTTTTTACTTTACAGTGATTTTCGCTTTACAGTAGTAGCCCAGAACCTAGCCTGCTGTGTAAGCGGGGCCCTCCTTTGTATGAAGGTACATACAATTGAGTTCATCAGGATGCAACACAACAGCAGTCAGCCAAAACTTGGAGAGGGGTGTATATACTATGCTTGTCATTAAGGTACGTTGGCCATCTCTGTGATCAAGACAAAATAGATCATCTCGTGCACTGTATAACATCCTTCATCCTTCTAAGAAGTGATTAATTCACGTTCTTCAGGGTTTCATGGGTAAATTCTCCCATGACTCATGGATGGTGTCTTAAAGCCATGGGACCGGGGTGATATCCTTTCCCTAGTAGATCATTATCTCAGCTCATGGGTTCTCAATGAGAGTTCACATCTGGGGAGTTCCTTGGTTTTCAATGGAGGTTCATATCTGGGGAATTGCCTAGTTTCTCAATGTGGTTCACGTTCTGGCTAATCATTGAAGAAAGATACTTTACAGTCATGAAGCCATTGAACAACAGATTTTGTGGTGTGACAAGGCACATTTTTGTATAAAAACTTCCACCACACTGAGTAAAAGATTTAGGCATGTGATAACACCATTTTAGGTACATTAGTATACAGTGGACCCTCGACCAGCGATGGCATCGATTAACGATACATCTGACTAGCGATACATTTTCTCGCAAAAATTTTGCCTCGATTAGCGCTAAAAAACTCGACCAACGCTATTCGTTCCGTCTGAGACGCGTCCACTTCTGGCCAGTGTTTACAAGCCAGCCAGCCACTGCGGTCGCTTCCAAGCATACAATCAGAACATTTCATTTTATCACAGCCTTTTTAGTGATTGCACCTGCAAAATAAGTCACCATGGGCCCCAAGAAAGCTTCTAGTGCCAACCCTACAGCAAAAAGGGTGAGAATTACTATGGATATGAAGAAAGAGATCATTGCTAAGTATGAAAGTGGAGTGCATGTCTCCGAGCTGGCCAGGCTGTACACAAAACCCCAATCAACCAACGCTACTATTGTGGCCAAGAAAACGGTTCTTGCCAAAGGTGCAACTATGTTTTCGAAACTGAGATTGCAAGTGATAGATGTTGAGAGACTGTTATTGGTATGGATAAACGAAAAACAGATAGCAGGAGATAGCATCTCTCAAGCGATCATATGTGAAAAGGCTAGGAAGTTGCATGACGATTTAATTAGAAAAATGCCAGCAACTAGTGGTGATGTGAGTGAATTTAAGGCCAGCAAAGGGTTTGGGTTTGAGAGATTTAAGAATCGTAATGGCATACATAGTGTGATAAGGCATGGTGAGGCTGCCAGTTTGGACCAAAAAGCAGCTGAAAAATATGTGCAGGAATTCAAGGAGTACATAGACAGTGAAGGACTGAAACCTGAACAAGTGTTTTAATGGTGACACTGACAATGTTGTGAAACACTTTAGAAATGTCATAAAGGAACGGGAGGTACAGGCCTCTATGGGCAGATATGTTGTGCTACAAGAGGTCCAGTGACTCTCAAGCTGGTCCTAGTGGCATTAAAAGAAGAAGGGAAGTAACCCCGAAAAAGGACTTGCCACCTCAAGTCCTAATGGAAGGGGATTCCCCTTCTAAACACTAAGACCATCAACACACTCCCCTCTTCCCATCCCATCAATCATCACCAGATCTTCAATAAAGGTAAGTGTCATGTAACTGTGCATGTCTTCTTCAGTTTGTCTGTATTAAAATTAATATTTCATGTGTTAAAATTTTTTTTTTCTATACTTTTGGGTGTCTTGCACGGATTAATTTGATTTCCATTATTTCTTATGGGGAAAATTAACTTGACTAACGATTATTCTGAC